GTTGTAGTCTTCCAGCCAGAAGGTCCATTGTCCGTTTTTTTTGGTTTTGGGAGTGTATCGAAACCTTAAAGTACTATAGCTCGAGTAGGCGGTGGCCATTTCCAGGATTCCAAGTGTGTTTGTGGGCAGGTCCCTGCCAGCTGGTTTTCCACGGATAAACATGGTCTACACACTGGAGTCGAAAATGGAGGTTTCTGCCCTTGGTGACCCTCCAACAACTCGATCGGCTTCGCTCTGTGCTGGGCCACCCACAGAAAAATAACTAGGAACCCCTAATTTCCAGGAACATGCTGAAGTCGTCTCATCTTGTTGTGCCGAATCTGACAGCCTGACAGGTTTTTTCAGCCTGTGCTTGCTCCCGCCACCGAGGAGCTGCTGCTCAGGCCCACAGTAGGCGGTGACGAAGTCCATTGGCAAGAGCCCCTTCGAGGTCTTCTGGTGCCTGAGAAACTTCAACGAGAGCCACCAAATCATCACACACGTGCGGGAAAAAACAAAGTAAAAATAACACATGGCGCATGGAGGTGCGGTGTGACCTCCACACCACAGTCAAACCAACGATTTCAGGAAGAAACAACTGGAAGGACAATTCATCTACACTCTCTGAAATAAAAGATGAAAAACCACCTGTTTGGCAAACCAAGCCTGTTTGGTATTCGGACAACGGTCAAGAAAGAACCAGGCTGTACCACTGAACCACTGAACCACATGGACGGACCTTTGTTCCAAGGACGGAGGTGTGACTCTTCGGATTTCCGATCCAAGTGGAAGGCGTTTCATCGCGTCCATCACTCCATCCGCGAATTCCGCGGCGACTGGGGCGGTTTGGGGTTTCGGATTTGGGGTTTTGGATCGGTTCCACACCGAGCTCGAGCGACTCGAGCGGTGGTTTTCAGAAGTCATGTGACCACCAGGCGACCCGTGAGACTCTGACCTTACCATCTACAAGAGACTGACCTGGCCCAACCCATGAAAGACTGTTCCGTGGTTTATGTGATCCCCTGGCGACCCCACCAAAAAAGAGACCGTGGCCCTCCAACCCATGAAAGACTGAGTGGTTTTACATGTCGACATGTTTTGTTTGTTGCGTAATTAGGGGAAACCAGGTCTTTGATGATTTGATACGATTTGTGAGGCCCCTGGTATAGAAGTGGAACTTTCCCGTCTGCCAGTCCTCAGTTTACCGTTGTTTCTTACCACACGAAGCGGGCCCTCACCGTCTCTGCCGAAACACACAGTGGCGCCCGCGGACACCAGGCGCCGAAGCATCTTCAGGTCGCCCAACTTGACAGCCACATGTACAGGGTACACCAAATCATGGTTTGGTAGATTCACCTGGCAAAGTTTTTGCGCCCACGACCACGATGTTTCGATGTGTCGCGCGGTGTCCCGCTTTTCAGAGAGTGACGTCGGCACAAAAAGGACGAGCACATCTGAGAAGGGGTAGAACCATGGCGATTGAGGCGATTCCCTTCATCCTCAGCCTGAAAACTCTACGCATCAACCGCCCAGACAAGACTGGTCTAGACTGTATAAGACATGTACGACCACCTTTCACCCACCGTCGCAGCGAAAGAAAACAAACGAAAAACAGACCTGAACCTTCTTCCGGGGTGTCCTGTCTGGAGGTCCCTTAGTGGGCTGGGGTGAAACCAGCCAGGTGACCCCTTTGAAGGTGCTGGTACGTATCGAAGATCTTCGAAGCACGTTCCCACCCATCGCACCTCGCTGAATCCATGTTTGCTCAAGAAGTCCTGCGTGCTTTTTCTTTCGGCGGACGGAGCCCCGCAGCAGTGCGGAGTGAGTCTGCAGCAGTGCAGTGCTCCGGCGGAAAATCAAAGGAGCCCACGAGGCTGAATATATCGAATGTTGGATCATCGAATATCTGAATATCTCATGTTTGACACTGTAGGATACCCTTGTGGGACAAGAGAAACTCTCTATAGTGACACTAATTCTTGCTTCACATTTTCGCGAGCTCTCCTGCGTCCTGTCAGTAGTATATAGCTATACTTGTATAGGTACTAGCTACCTAGCGACGTCCACGGCCTACCTCCTCCTTGCGCCCGCGAAAAAGCTGCTACTAGCTACCTCTTCCGACTAGCTATTCCTCAATAGCTAGTCGGCCTACCCCCCCTCCCCCTTTAAAAGAAAAGAATCCTTATCCAATTGCAGCTATGTCCAAAATGACCCCCAAGCGTCCCCAGGTCCAGACGTGCCTCGGAGATAACGAGTAACGCTCCAACGAGCTTCCGTCTCCACTGTTCCAGTTGAGGGCCGTAACACCAACAAGCTGGAACAGAGCGGTTGAGGGGGCGGGATCGGCGGTTGGACATCGAGTCGTGACATGTCGTGACACCCGGCAAGCAACCCTGCGTGGCCCGGTGGGTCAACCAGGCAACGGATCTGCACGACTTCGCACCGACGGATCAGATGGAAAAGTCTAAGCTTCGAAGAACATGACAAGGTAGGCGACAAGGGTGGGACTTGGATACGGACCAAATGACCGTGAGCGTATCCGGCGGTTGTTCTCTTTGTCCACCCTTGCTGCAGTCCGAGCAACTGTCCTGGAATCCTAGTAGGTACCATTTAAATGGATGCAACAGTGCATTTGGAACGACCACTTACTTTCCTTTCCGCAACCTGGCGCCCCTGGTCCAGCACTCAGGCACATGAAATCCCACAAGTTCCCAAGAGCAAAGACACATCTCCAATCATACCCTCTTCTTTTCCACTCATCTGACTCTACGAAAACACCCGCCCCTATATATATATATATATCGGGGAGTCATTCCAACTTTTTATTCCCTGGGAAATCCTCGAGGATCTTCTCCCCATGCTGCCGTCGCAAGCGTCACTTGGAGATCTTAGTCTCCAGTTGCAGGTCGCTTCTCCGCGGTGATGGGTGCGACTTGGCCCTCAGAGCCGCGTCGCTGCAGTCTCCGTGGGAGGCCGCGCTCGACTTGGCCAGCTCCGGATCCGACCGGGTGGAAGAAATGGGCCTCCTTGGCGGCGGGGGGGCGGTCTCGGAGGTGTTTTTGGGGATGGAGAATGGTCTCGGAGGTGGCTTGATTTGGTGAATATAGATGATGATCGAATGTGAAGGTATGTGAAGGTGGGTGTATCGAATCTAGAGCCAGCACGGTGAAAAAAAGGCATGATAAATATCGAGCGGATTCCCATAAGCATTTGTGCCTCCCAGGTGATCTGGCTGGCTTGCTGCTCAAGTCTGTGGATCTTACGCTTGGCTAGCACATGTCTTTTTAAGCTGTCTGGCACCAACCAGGTCATTTTAACAACAAATTCACGAACGGAAGAGCCAGCAATCTTAACAGGAATTGCAGGATCCAATACCCAAACCCTATGTATTTACCTCATTCGGGGGTCATGTATGAATCTAAATTTTCCATGGCCGACCGGTTGACCTATACCTAGAATGTCTTTTGCAGCAATTGGTGGACTGGTCGGGCTCAGGCTCTTCACGACCCATCTGGTGGGCTACATGGCAGAGAAAGACCGAACGTGACCTCTCAACTGGAGGATCCAGGTGGTGCTGCAAGAACAGGCATAGCCAGGTATACCTTCTTCAAATGCCTATGGCTGCCTATGGCTTCATGGTCCAACATTCTCACTCTGAAAAATTTGGACTGAAACAATATCAAGCAGGTTCATGTCTGTTTCAGCCACACCCCCTGTCATGTTGTTGATATAGCGGATTTGTTTACTGTTTAAGTCTTGTCTTTCCAGACTGACCAATCATTTACTTCGCTCAGGACAGCTCACTAAACCTCTTGTCATGAGAAGAGGCTCACAAGGTATAGGTAAGAAGCCACACGCTATCACATGACCTTGTCAAAATTCCCCAAGTCATCAAAAGCCCAAGAGCTATGTGCAATCCCTCCAAAAAATAGTTCATCTCTTTCCCTGTAGATGGGCCAGCCAAGTTCCTTTTCCCTTTGGGAGGTCGTGCTTGCCGTGCAAGGCTTGGTATGGATAGCAATTCAAGGCTATAGTAGCGGCTACAGGACTATATACCAATATACACTATACAAGAAATATTCGTGTTCCAAAGGCCTCCTCCATGACTGCGCAGCTGAGCTTCTCAGGTATGAAATGCTCATCCACAAGTAATGGCTCGTACGGCTTGACAGTGGGCAAGAGCGTGAAATCTCTGATTCCCATGGCACCAGCAGCGAAGGCCGGCGGCAAAAAAGAAAGAAGTGCTACGAAAAAACCGCCCACCCGTTCGATTTCGGATATCCTGGGCCTGCAAGTGCGGCAGACATGATGACATGGACTGAGAGTGGGTCTTGCTTGTGGGATCCACGGATCCACTTTCGAAGACACGACTGGACCCGACATGCAAGTGTCAAATAGATAACCCTTTCAGAGAGTACCCTTGACAAGAAGTGCACAGTCACAGTACAAGAGTTTAGACATGTTTTAAACGATGCATGTCCAATCTAATTTTGTGATGTATATAAATTCCTGGGGTCACTACCGGTTCGAAACGCCAAATAGACACTGACATGATATCGAAATTCCTATATGGACATCGTCATACGAACGACCAGCGTCAGAAATCCAAAATCAGGGGTTTGAGCTGATCAAAGCCTGCCTTTTTGATGTTTTATCTGGACCCATGTTAAACATGCTCCTCTCCTCCCTGACGCCCATTTTTTCAGAAAAGGCTTGCATGAAAATGCCCTCATGGTTCCCCCTCTTTCCTTTCCATCTTCATCCACTTATTCCATCCTCCCCCTCTGCTTGCTCCAACTCCTTCCGCACCGAAGCCGGGAACACCTTCTGCAGGGAACCAGTCGTGGCACCAGTCAGTCTGTGGAAAGACGTTTTCCACAACACCCATGCAGTTCCCAGCCACGGGGACCCCCCCCATTTCAGAACACGGGACTTTCAAACGGAACACACCCAGACCTTTAGACCCTCCAATTCCGAAAAAAAAAAAACACGAAGGCACCACGAAGGCGCCACCGAGCCACGAAGGCGCTGGAGAGCTCCGCCAGGCTCATGCCGCCCGAGCAGTCGCGGTCGAAGACCTCGGTGACGGACGTGGACGTGTGGACGTGGACATGGTTTGGATCGGTGCGGTTTCAGAGGTGTGGAGAATGTGACGGTCGGACCTGTCTCTGTCACCCTTTTGGGTGAGAAGAAGTGGTGGAAAACAGCTGCAGGTTGATCTAGTCAGCACCAACTTTTATACCATTTATGATGTATTCTTTTGGGGCTTTGGGGAGGAAGAGTACCAGGGAAAATGAATAAGAAACATGTCGCAAACTAAAGCCAGACCTTTAGTTCACTCTTGCAGTTGAAGAGTTGAAGAGTGGGATCCCAGAACTTTGTTTGGATCGTTGATTCGCGGAAAAGCCCCACGTTTTGGGTGGCTGACAGCTCGACAGCTCGAACTGTGGGAAGCCTCACCTAAACCCACAGCTGTAATCTGTCCCAAGCCACTCACTTGTGGCGTCCTCCCACACAGAAATCACAGGATGCTAATCAAGTGACAACCTGGACTGAATCATGACTTGTCATGCCTTTTTGGCCAGTTTCAAAGCACCAGTATCAAGGAAGCCTGAGGAAGACCAAACCCACGTGAAAACATGCAGTTGTTCAGTCTCAATCACTCCATTGTATGCACCAACAACACATATGTCAATCTGTTTCAACTGCAAGAAAAACTCAATCTTCTTGATCCTCTTTTGCATTTGACCTGCCTGAAAGACATTCTTGAAGTGTTCAAGCTCCTCCAGCAAAAAACAGTAGCCTCAAAAGAGCGGATGAAAAAAAAAACACTTGAGCTGCACACATGCATGCCCACACCTGACCCAGCCTCACATTGGGGGGTCCAAAACTGAGCACATGTTTTTCTTTTTCACTGCAAGTTAAGAAGCAAAACATCTGTGGTCTTGTGATGCTCCTTGAGTAAAGGATAGCAGGGCAAAGCGGTGGGTAACCCAACAAAAGAGCAACCGTTGTTTTATGTTGTTTCATAGGGTTTGGATTGGAGTAGTTCTACAGCTGCGGCATTAAGTGCAAAGCTGAAGGTATGGGTGTCCCAAACCAGGAACCCCCAATTGATTAGAGAAACGAGGACAACGACCGGATACCAGGGGTACACAGGCTCCATGAGCACTCCTGTTTCTCCGACACTCACGTTGAAAGAAACGGCGACCGTCATGACCCGTCAACCCCCAAGGATCTCAACCCGTCTCGGACATTTACTTGGTGGTTTCAGATGTTTGTAACTCTCTGGTTGGTAGCTTGCATCCCAAATAAAGGTTGAGAGTTACAAACATCTGAAACCACCACCCAGCTATACCACCGTGTACCATGGGATCTTCCGTTCGGGATCACCTGGCTGGACACAGCTAGAAACAACAAGTAGGTCACCTGGCTGGACACAAATGGGTAGACTGTTGATGAATAACCCCCAACAAAAACGACCATGATGATCAAGCCTCTTCACGATTTTCTTTGTTTTTAAATATGAATCAACCATCTACATATGTCTACATATGTCATACACACATTCCAGCAATGGTTTAGGCATAGAGTTTAGGCACTTGACCAAGCAACCGATGTTTAAGCCGGCTGCGTTCTTCGCCAGGTCACGTGCACGGAGCAACTCTAAGGTCCTTTCGAACTCTGGCAGCGTCAAGCCTGGCGCCGCTTCTCGACGGACATACCGATCTCGGCTGGTCTGAAGGCCGTTTCACTGAAGCCGTTTCACTGAAGGACGTCTCAGACCTCATCAGTTATAGGGTCGATAGGGGATCTCTATATAAACCAAAAAACCATTCTGGAACACCCACATGAAACCTACTAACCTACTACCTAGGATCTTAAACGGTTAATGGTGTCTCCCATGTTGTGGCGAAGTCGGGAAATCAGGTGAAGAGGAGGTTTCCAACAGCAGGCTGGACAAACAACGAACCAACGAGAAAAAGGAGCACAACAGTTGAATGATAAATGCCTGTACCAAACACATCTAAAAACCACCCATAAACAAACAACGGCTACAGTGTCCCCTCGAATACATCTCTTATCCACCAAAACTTCAACAGCGGCCAAATAAGACGATATAAATATAAGTTAACCCTAACACTCCATGGGACTGGCATATTTACCGTCGTGGACCCGCTGAAAAAAAAAAAAACAGCAACAAACACGCTCTACTGCCGAGAGACGGAGTCGTCCGACTGCCAGTCCCATTGGGTCGTGAAAACACCAGGCTCCCACCTTTCACCCAAAGGTCGTTGGGTGTCCAAAGGTCGTTGATGACTCTGACCAGCAAAGGTCGTCAAATCGATTCCACATACCCAGACAATCCATGTCTGTTTTTTTTGCCGATCAATTGGGGTGGTTTTGGGTGTCAATGTAGGCATATATATGCATATATATATACATGGAGTGTCCGCGATATGGAAATCACAAATCGCCGAGTTCGACTGTCCAGTTCGACGATATTTTGACCGACCGAAGTAAAGGAAATGAACATCGTTCTGATAGCCGTTGACTTGCCAGGGTAGTGATAACTGGCATCCACAACGGGACTCTCTTTATGCAAGTGTCACACTTTGTATGACTATAGCCTATAGCACTGGTGTTTTTGTTGGCTGACTTGTTGGAATCAAATGACTGCAAAAAGGACTCGAACAAAAAATGACACTCTCCTGGTGTCTCTAAAAAACCCTCAGGAGGACCGCAAAGCCGAGAACGAGAACGCCGAGAACGCCGACGGTCAGACGAAACACACTGCTGTGACAAAACCGACACCATCATGACAAAGGTATTACAAGCCATGTTTGGGGAGGGGTATGATTCACCAAGAGTCTACAAACTTATTAATTAGACGTGTTGTGTCTAATTTGTTTCTATGACTCAGCAATGAGTTTGTACCCATGTTGACCCCTTTTCAACCGTCCCAATGTGTATTATAATATATTATATAAGTTATAAGAGTCCCATATGGGTTGTGTCTGGGTATGTCCACACAACCAAGTCATGACATGTTTCATTGCGGGACTGCTGGACTGTTGGGATATGAAACACCGTAATTAGCATTTTTCGTGCCTCTCAGAAATCCCGTGGAAGTTCACGATGATCGACTTCCCAAAGAACATGGGACTATTCATGAGCTCCAGATTAGCGAGTCTTCCCCATGTCTATCTCCGCTGAAAACCTCTAGCCACACCAGCCTCCTAAAACCACCCCTCTGATGAAACATGATCTTGGAACCCCAGATCATACGCAACGGATTTGGTTGCAAACCTCAAACCATTCACTGGTGGGATATAATTGAACCTGATTGACCCCTGTTTGGGAGCCAAAACATGGTCTTTTCATATCAAAACAAAGGTCAAATGGGTTCTAGGTCATGTATGTATATGTGACTCATCACTCATCAATCTTCATCAACTGCCAAATCACCACTCGCCCGAGCCGTCCGTGAATGTCGACGGCCTCGGGGCTCACCCATCACCTGAGAGACGTCGGAATGAAAAGCCGAAGGTTTCTCAGTCCAACTTGGACTTGCAAAAATGACACATATATACATATACACTAGCTATATATATAATATAATACCTAATATATGCTTAACTGCTTGTTTCTTGGAAGCGAGGCCAAACCAAAGGGAACTAGTTTGTCACGCTATGTCGCGCACATGTGGTCCACATCGCAGGCTCTTGGACGAGCTCCACCGCCGTAAAGTAAAGATACAGTATGTCTTCCACGGCGGTGGTTTGTCGCAGCCGGTCCATTGGACCTTTGGATCGGATTGAACAGAGCAGGGACTTCACGCACTTCACGTTTCCACTCTCACATCGATCAATGCTCACGCCGATCAAAATGCGCGCAAAGTCAACAATAGAGCCACCCTGCCCGTCTTTGCTCTCGAAAGAATGCGACATAAATTGATTTCCATGAGTGCTACCTTAACTTAACTTCTTCCATATTATGATATATTGTTATGTATAGCTGCCCAATTACACTTCAATCATGGCTTGAACAAGAAGTGTAACACTTCACACTTCACACAATGAGTTCAACACTCACGGAACTATGCATCACCTGAAGCACCAAAGGCAAGCTCACTCAGTGAACCCAGGTTCCATTTCTGTGAAACCTCCAATTTCCGGAGTTCCTTCCTAGTACACCGCATGCGAGCGAATCCGGCTCTTCCTCGAGCCGGATTAGTTTACGATGTTTCAGTTGTTTTTCATATGTGGTTGGTTTCTGGGATTCGCCCCATGGCCCTTGGTTTCCAAGGTAGACAGGCCTAAGGCTTCCGATGTTGAAACCAAATCCCACACACAGCCCATGTATCGAGTTCCACCGTGAGCCGAACAGCGCCTCTTCTGTCAGTTGAGTGAGGACACGGCGACAAGGCTGGAGCTCCTGTAGACGGCCACTTGTGTGGAATCCCACATTTTGGGGTAAAGAATGACAAAGGCAAAGCCTTTTGCAAAGCGAGCTTTCACGTACCCATCGATCTGCAGGTGTTTCGTTGAAACTGGTGGGACTCCCAGCTTGGGAAGGGGGATGCTGCATTCTCCCGGACAGTGGTGCTTGAATGTGGATGGGGAAGCTTGGATATATTTATTAAAAACACACCAAAAAAAGAGCACCATGGGCAGTTGGTTGGGAAATGTTCAGAATGAGACTGCAAAACAGAAAAAACAGTTTGATTATGTTTTAGAAATGTAATTTCATGTAAACATGTCTGATGTCAAAGTGAGATAGTATGATACCAAGTTCCTCATGCATGGGCGTCATTCCTCAACAAAGCTCAAGCCAGCCAGAAAGACTGAAACATCTGCCACGTTCAGGCGTGTCCTTGTCCAATTGCGTCAACCCAGCCAGTGTTGGATCTTGTCTTCCCTCCTTACGCGAAGAATCTCGACTAGACTATGCTCCTCCTACACTCCTGCCACTCCCTGCATTGTTCAATCTTACCCAGAACAAGCGTTGCAGTCCATCTCTTTCAGAATGCTTGGCAGTGAAGAGAAGGGAAGGCGACCTCAGAGGCGAGGCCAAGAAAAACTGACGCTCTCAAGATCTGGGCTGTTGCTGGCTGAACAACTTCCTTGGAATGCTGGAGCCTCAAGAAAGCATCTATTTAGAAACCATCTGACTGTCCAGTTCGGACCTCCTGGATTCGGTTTGGGGAAATAGATCGTCCACCCAGCCAAGGCTGGAAGGGGGGCCACACCCACCCAGCCCTTCAAACACCTGGAAATACCGATCGATCTTCCAACTATGTCTGCCATGCCTGCCTTTATAAAACCAAGCAAAAGGCCAACATATTAAATAGGTACCCGGGGAAATTAACATGGAACCTAACAACCACTGGGTTGTAGAGGAAAATTGCCAGAAACATGTAGCTATGAGCAACGAATCTCGCAATGAACCAGGATAGAATCTATATGAATGACTCACTTGATGTGGGACCAAAGGCCCAGTGCCAGGAAAGAACAACACAAATCAGTTCAAAAATATAGTAATTTGCACTCTTGGCCCTCCAAGTGTTATCTTTGTAGGAAGCCAAGTGACCATCCGCCATGTACTTCTGGAAATGCTGAAATGCATCCTCTTTCAGCTCCTCTTCATACCTCAGGTCTTTCACAAATCGAGACCAATGAGCCATGCGCCATGTATGCCTGGCGGTGCTTAATGCCATAAAGGGAAGGGTTCCGAAAGCACATCCCACATCCAGCTGGCAGGTGCGAAACGTACAACTCAATCCATGCGTCGACTACGAAGCAAAGTTCGGATCGAACATAAACATGGAATAAGTTGTTGGTTTAGTTCGCTTGAAGCAATATCCTGGATCTTCCCAGTGACCTTTTGATCCCCTGGTTTGAGGTCACAAAAAGGCTTGTAAAAGGTCACTTAGGGACTCCAAAAAGGTCACTGGGAAGGTTAAAGCAATATGTTAAGACATTCTTCACGATGGGTGAACAACGTTGAAGGTTCCCTCCCAGTTCCGGTCGGAGGGTCTGCTTGGGGCTTGGGGGCGTTGGGGCTTGGAACCTGAGGTCACCTAGGCACCCGAGTGCACCAGTCAATCAGCTCTCCCGGTTCTCAGAGAGAGGACCAAAAATCCCCAGAAATGTCTCGAACAAATGGAAAGGAAATGGATCATAGGCCTCCATGGCTTGCCCCATTACGTGCAAGCCAAGAAGTTAAGTACGTGCTGCCTTCTACCAACGTGTGCATTATTTCATCCATTCACGTGTCAAGCGCATGGGATCTCAGCGACCAACCGAATTCTTCTTGGGTCGCCGGTCGCATTTTGGTCTGTGCGGCAAGAAACACAAGGAATCTGCCGTAAGTTGTGCATACGTTGGTCCAACAAAATGGGTCGGTGAGTGCTGGGGCAAACGCTTTCTTGTGATGTGCTGTCATGTTGAAGGCGTTGAAGGGGTTCATGATCTTTCAGAATGGCCAGCCTTCAAACCCAGGACTTCTAACAGGTATAAATACTGAGACAAGCAACTCGCACATGAAGTGAAGGAATTCGTCCTCATCCAGTGTGTTGTACTCCTGAATAGGCCGCGCGTATGACAAAGACCAAAGCACCCTTCCTCACCCCCAAAAAAACATCAAACAGCTACTCTGCAGTGTATATCATGCAATTCACTCATCAAACTAACTTCAAAAGACGACGCTTGCCTTAAGCTTACTATATATAGTTCTTAAAGCCAAACCACACGACAAAACACACCTCTCAAACTGCCGGAGGCGCCGCCACCTTTTGCAGCGCCGATGCGACCAAGCGCGGTCGGGTGTCCTGGTTGTTCGCGCTCGGACACGGGTGCCTTCGTCTGAAGCTTCACCGAGGTGACCGATACCAGACACTCCATGTATGCCATATTTGCCTACATTTGGGTGTGGGATCAATGTAGGCATAATATGGCATACATGGAGTGTTTGGGGATATAGACCCCTGTTTTTTTGATGAATTCCATGATAACTTATCCAATCCAATCAGTTATACGGACACCTATGGACCCCAATTGTCCACCCAAATGGTGACTGTTACTGTATTTTTTTCTGAAGACCCTGGAGTCCAGTTGGCCTTCTCGAAGGTGGATCCTTAGGGATCCTAACAGGGTAGTGCTGAGTTGTCAACATATGGACAAGAACGGCGCGATGGAAAAGAACAGGACTTGATAGGATCGCAGGTGTTCTTCCGTTTCCGAGTTGGGGCAGTTGGGTTACCAAAAACGTTCCTTCGAAGCAAAATGATCCCCTTTTGCGAGGGATGTATCGCAATCTATTGCCAGTGACCCAGGTGTCCCATGAAGAAACAGTTAAAAACACCATATGTTTGTTTGCTAGGGAAAAAGCAGGTCTTTGATGGTTTCCCCTGGTGAGGCCTATAGGTCAAATCCCCAACTCCAGTCCAGTCCTGGCTTTGACCCGCAGAAGACCGTGTGGCATGTGAGATCACAACCCCATATACACCACGTATTACCCTGCGTAGATACCCCTTAAATAATGAATTAACATACTGGGCATGTGATTTAGAGGTTTGACAATGCCCAAACGCTCCATGTATGTCATATATGCCTACATTGGGGTGGTTTGGGGGGTCAATGTAGGCATATATTCCATACATGGAGTGTCTGGGATGTTTAAATACGTTAACTGTTTGGACATGTGTTGACCAATGTCTTTCATAGCCCTTGTTCATTTCCGTTCAATCTGCTCCTCAAAGCCACAGTGCAACAGAGCGCGTGGAATATCATCTGAGTGGATCTCGCCATCGTACCTGAGGAATTTGGCCACGCAAATGGGGAACCCAACTATATCAGCTCACTGTCTCAGTTCTCCAACTGACTCCCGAGGCATGAAACCCTGGAAAAGGCTTCACCGGAATTGTCGGAAATCAATCCGAAAGTCCCAGGTGGGGCGGCAGGGGGCAGGGGGAAATCCCACGTTTCCTGGGTCGGAGAACATGTCAATTGAGTCTCCAAAAACGGGGTGAAGATCGGGTTGGTGATGGCCTTTTCGGACCTGGAGCTTGAGTCTGGAGCCATGATACTGACTCATGATACCTGGGCTTCTCATGTATCGATCTTCGTCCATAAGGCGGTCTATCAAAAGTCCGCCTAAAACCGTTGTGAAATCGGAATTCCATTCGTGCTGCTTCAACTGTCCAAAGAAAATCCATATCTCTTGCTTCGCAGGGCTGCAGCCGAAAGCAGCAGTTTGGCCCACAGAGAGAGCGGTTCATCCAAGTGGCAAGTAGCGGTTGAAACTCGCTAGCCAACGGCCTGGGAGACTTCTCGCTCCAGAGCTCCGGAGCTTCCGTGGATCGTTCCGCTAGTAGTCGGTGCGGTGGATGGGTGGATGGCGACCGAAGACAGATAGATAGATCGTGAACATGAAGGACAAAATGATGTCGTATTTCCGCATTTTGAACATGGGAGGACTGCTGACTCCTCTGCTGAATTGTCTGGACTTTAACAACTTCTGGGTTGACCAAATCTTGGTGTGATGGTGTTTCATGGATACATTGGTTGGCTACTTATCCATGCTTGCCGTGTCGCTCTCCCTACTATAATATGGACATATACATAGACCATTGCTACAGTTCTTAAATTGTGATGCCATCGCACAGCACCACATAAATAACTATAAGTAATACTAAACAATATAGATGTGCGTCGAACTGAATTCTGCCAAAATGAGGACCCCCACATGAGCAAGAGCCAATCAAAAGAAGGGAAACGTCGCGATGGCATGCGATGGCAGCAGCCAGGAATCAACGACTGCCCAGGCTGTCGTATGCCTCTCATGACCTCCAAGAAAAATAGAAGATGGAAGAGTCATATGTAGACGGTTGAAAAAACTTCCCTATTACCCAAACACACCATGTATACCATATAGTATATGCCTACATTGGGGTGGTTTGGGGGGTAAATGTAGGCAAATATGGCAGTCCCAAACGGGTTGTGTCTGGAATATAAATTTAAGGGATATACAAGGATCGCGACTAGGAACAAGAAGCTACTAGGGGCTCCTGGCCGTACTACTAGGAGCAAGGACGCTACTAGGGGCTCCTGGCATCGCTACGAACGGAGGATTTACAAGGATGATGGACATTTTCGCATATGTTCGCCACTTCGGCGTGCTGGACATCCCATCGTCGTCTGATTTCCTGGGCATCCCAAGCCGCGGTTGGCACCGCCCAAGGCCGCCGAGGGCCTAGGGTTTGGCTGTTCTTTTCTTTGGTACAGGGACGGTTTCTTCAGCATGTCACAGCCGCTTCAGCATGCCACCACTATGGTTGGTCAAATAACGGAGATGTAGGATGCTCACATATGATCACAGTTTTACCTGAAATACTGGACCATCTATCATATATTCAGATCATTTAGCGGTAGCATCCACGGTTGGAAGAAAAAGCCAAACGCACAAAGACGTTGTTCCTGTGTGCACCTGCATCTGCATGCTATGTAGAGCCCCAAAGGCCAGGCAGAAATGTGTTGTTCGCTTCGGCATGGCAAATTGACTACAATGCAGGGTCATCCGTGTGCTCAAACCCTATCGTCAAAGCCCATGGCCCACAAATGCAGGCCACACATCTCCAGCAACAACCACATGCACACCAAATGACCCATATGATCCGATCCATGACCCCCTCAGTGGGCCCCGCTGTGGAGCCCCCAGATGTTCCAATCTGAAGAACTCTTCCATCCCCAAAACGGTCTACCCTGCTCGGAACTCTTCAAGTGGAGTCAGTTTTAGAGAGTCACTCAAGTCCACAAGTTCAGGGCCTATGTGGGTACATCTCTCAAAAATGAACTCTCAAAGGGAAGCGTAGATCTCCCAGCTACTTCAAATTTAGAAGCAGCCTCAAACCCCTGCATCTAAAGCACAAAAACTAAAGGATGAGGGCTAACTCGAAGTGCAACGTGTTCTTGCCTGATAAGGGACCTTCAACGGGGGCTTCAAGCTCCTGAGCATTTGTGGGCATCTCAAACTGAAAGTGGTTCCTCTTCATAGCCCTCCAAAGCTTCATCAAGGGATGTGTGCAACTCCACATACGGCTTTGAAGTTCTGTCATGGCCCTAGAGACTACAGCGTACCGTATTATACTATAAGACTTCCTTGAGCAAGCTTCTCTGAGGTTGAAACAGAAATCACCAACCAACGAACCCGACCAAGAAGTGATGACGACTTAATATGTCTCACACCCTCAATATCTGACAAGACCTGAGGCCCAATGCTATCACAAACCCAAACATACAAATTCAGCGTCGTTTGGTGTCGTTTTGGGATCGTGCTTTTGGGTGCGGTTTGGCGCGGAGTCTATGTTTCATTATTCAGTGATGGCGTCAGTTTGGCGTTTGGTATCTAAGTGACGGCGCAGTTTTTCAGGTTTTGGCCTTTGGTTTTTGCAGGGTGGATAGGTAGATGTCTACAGAAATCCAACATATGAGCACACAATCCTTCAATACCACTCCTCAACCAACCTGTTGAGTTCTGGCAAAGTTGGAGGCCCTTCGAGACATTTGCCACCAGGGGCAAGTTTTCACCCACTCAAATCCTCAAAGAAATCTTCACAGAAAGCAAGTCCATCATAGTCCAGGTTTACTTTAGTTTGTACATGTTTGTACATGTTTGTACAAGGGGGAGGGGCTTGCTAGGGTCAACTTTTCTTTGGGTGTATAAGAAGAACCCAGCGCACTCCAGATGTTCATCTAGGTGAAGGCAGTTCTGGTGATTAGGGTTGTTGTGGCTGTCCAGCCATCCGGGTTTGATTACTGATTGCTTGCACTCCCTACCTCTGATGGCTGGGTTTTGCAGCTTGATATTCGGCATTGAGACACACAATCAATCGTCTTGCAGGCCCAGCAAGCAACTTTGTTAAGATGATTCCATTGCTTTTGTGTCTCGTATTGTTTGATTTTTTGAACAGTGTCTCTCCAAGACCTGAGCAAGCAAAAACCATCAACTGGATTATCTTTTCGCGGGCGCACCTCAAAACAAATAGGACAACAGTGTTCAGGGCTCCAGGAAAAAACACACAAAAAAAGAACACGCACACAACCACTTGGGATTGGTTCGCCAAGAGTGCTACCGATGATCTACACCAACTCCTTTTGAGCTTTCAAGTTTCTCTTGTGTTCCCTATCGTGCTCCCTAAGACAAGAGGTCCCCTGTGAACTCGTGAATGGCCCCCAAACCCCGCCTCGGCTTAGCGGAACTCTTCCGACTGCGTCGCCCCTGAATCGGACGGACTCGATGGGCGGAGTGAACACCGCAAGGGGTTGACTGGGACGGCACACAAGCGGTATAGTGTGCATGTAGAAGAAAAGGGTCTTCCCCCAATAGCCAGGCCGTCCACTTCCATGGAATGTGAGTCGGAGTATTCATGGGATTCGGGTCAAGTTAACCTAATTTTGAGGTGTCTATCTTGGTCTGCGACAGGTGCATCTGGACGGTGCGGTCATTGTTCCGAATGATCGAATCATTCACAGTTTCGGGATCTGTGGCAAAGAACAGAGTCACCAAGAAATCCTTGGTGATATGAAACAACTTGCTGCTTTAGAAGTGTGGACTTGGAATTTGTTTGCCCGAAGTTTGGGACAACCGATAGGGAAAACGGTTCACCCAGCATGAAAGATGTGAAACTCCCACTGTGGACACCTTCCTGGAAGCCCAGTCTAGTCAAACCAAAACACAACTGAATGGTTCTCACATAGATCTTACGCGAATGGAATGCAAATGCTTCATCTTCTGCCATTCTACATGGGTCAAGAACTGAAGGGCTGTGCCTTTAAGCTTAGGCTCCATGATGGTAATATATACATACACTATCGTAACGTATACATCATTAAACACTACTGGAACTACTACTGGTCATATCATATCATGTCATCTCCCCAACCCAACTGAACTTGGTCCACCTGTCTTAGCCTTTGAGTCCACGGCGCCTGGTTGGTCCATGTTTCCGGCGGCTTCCTCGCGGCGAAAAGCCCCGGGTGTCGGGTAGAGATCTGTGGGAGGTCCCACAACAAACTGCGATGAATGACCTGTGAAGAGAAGACAAACATAGAAGAATCAGCTACCAGTGGCCCTCAAACCCATGAAAAATAGAGGTAGGTGTTCACATAGAAAAACCTTGTTTGTTGCTCGGGAAAACCAGGTCTTTAATGGCTTGTGGGGCAAACAATAAGACAAATTGAGGCGAGTTTTTTTTCTACGAATGACAAACACATTTGTATAGCTACACTGAACAAACTCCGTGTCAAAGAATGTAGGCAGTGTTTTTCAGTCCACCCTTTTCTTTTCAGGGCAGCCTAACTAATACGGTGCCCGTGTTCTCCCGCCCGACTCAGCTGTCTCCGACTCCGCCTTCTCCACAGCCTTCCCCCGTTGTCTCCGCTCCCCCGCCGCCCGGCCCGACTCGGCGCTTCGAACGTGTCGTCCTCTCGAAGAGGCTCAACGGGACGAAGGAGGAAAGCCTCGGTGTCGCCGGAGGCTTCGGACATCGACGGACGATCTGGGACGACCGCCACATCGACGGACGACCTGGGACGACTGGGACGACTGGGCGCGAAAACGGATTCGAATCGACCAGACGATTTCGGACTGGGAACTCGTCCGGAGTCCGGATGGTCGACGGGTGTGGAGAACGAAGTAGGTCAGGTGGTCAGGTGCTCATTCAGAGTGAAGAAGTGAAGAAAGAACAAACACTTTTGAGGTGGCCCTTTTCATGGATGTCCAACAAAACACATGTTTTCACTAAATCAACATGAAAAGAGTGGTGAAAGTACTCATTCAGATTAAAACAGCTCAAATCTGTGGTGTCTTTTGGCAGCAAAAACTCTCTTTGTTCATTTGCACCGAAGAGCGGGCTGGAAGCAGTCTAGTTCTTGTTGTTGCTTGTCTTTCTGGCGAAACAGTCCGAAGACGCATTCCTTGACAAAAGGCTGTCTCGACAATGATGGCCTGCTCCCAGAAACATCTCTTCATGTTTGTCGGCCAAAGAGATTCAACTCAATCAGGGTTTGTTGGCCAACCCCCAAACCCTACTACACATCTGCCAATATTGGGTGCGCCATTCCCAGTGCACGCAGTCGGCACAATGTATCTACAGCACCCTGCCGAGTAAGAAGACTGGTTAAACCTGCAGTGGGTTGGAAATATCTCATGCTTAATGACAAACGGCTCCAAATCCACCAAACTATCAAAATATATCAAAATCAAACTGTCCTTTTTGATCCTTTTTGGCCGACACCCCAACAAACCCGCGCATGCAGGCTGGTAGAACAGGTCCTGTTCGTTGCCACGCATGTTCCAAGCCACGCATGTTCCATCTCGGGCTCCTCGTTGCTGAAATCCACCGAGCGTCGAGCGGAGCCCAGATCTGCCGACGACGGCTTGCAGCGTTTTGGTCGTCTGGGTGGGGCCGTGTCCGTGTCGTCGTGGTCTGTCTTTAAGCGTAAGGTGAAGTGAAAGGTGGACATAATTGATCATGAATTAGAATCAGGACCCGACACTGTCGGGGTGTCTATAGCCCCTGAACGCCTTGAAGGCCCGGTGTCCATGAACCACCCCTTCTTCAGGCCCTGGTATGTCCCATGCGCATGTTTGACCTACTCAGTAGATCCAAAGACCGAAGATGGGCCATAAGCTTCAGGATGGCCACCTATAGTGTAGATGATGTAGACTTCAACAGGATCCCACCCCATGATGTGCCCGCTACAGTCCCAAATCGCAGACCGTGAAGCGAGTGTACCAATGTAAGGAACCCTTCAGTGGAGTGGAGTATCTCCAAGGTAGAGTCATACACTGTTGTATGAATCAAACAAAGCATGTTCACCGTGCAACTGGTCTACAACCCATGAAAAAAGGGGAGCAGTGGTTGGCCAAGAATCCCGGGACGATGTCCATCGTAAAACATGCACAAAATGGTCAGCTCCTGTCCAGCTCTCCCCACATCGGCCGGCCTAGGGCGTTCCTCTTCCGAAAGTGCTGGACTTTGCTCGCGAGGCCTCCGATTTCTAGAGCACCAACACGCTGGCAGGGCCTTCTTTCCCCGGAAAACGCTGGCAATCATCTCCCCATTGCCACCAATTCTGTGTTTCTGCTATCAGGCTATCCGTGTGGTCATCAGATTGGGAAGGGATATCTCCCAATCATAGGTGCCGGAAACTAGAAAACGTGTCTCCAGCTCCTATGCACATATTCTACAAGGAAATGCCACCCTCTCTCTCCCCCTCGTGTTTTTTATGCCTTGAGACCTTGGGATCGGATAGGATAGACAGGCTTGTCTAACCAGCTGAATTCGATCCCGCCTACACCATTTGTTGTGGCTTGGGAGCAGAATGAATAGCTCACCCCCTCGAGGCATTTAGCTACACCATGAATTTTGACAAAAGTCCTTCCTTCACCAATCTTAAGGCCTTGCCGGTTGTCCAACAATCTTCAAAAGACCCACTCGATCATACTCGATCCATGTCTTTCCCACCCAACCTTCTCTCCGTGGCTCTGGCTGATGCAGCAAACCTGGCGAGTCCACCAGTCGAAACCGGACCGATCTGGACTGGAAAAAACACAAACCGAGATTAAAGGTGGTATAGGATTTGGGTTGAACACCCTCGCGCCCCACCTGCTGTGCCGCCGAAGATGGTCTTGGTTTTCCTTTCTTTTGTGACGTTCTGTGTGGCAGTCTCCTCTGTGTGTCCAGTCTCTTGATTGCCCAGTCTCGCTTTGCTGGGCGGGCTATTCAGCTGGCTGGTCTGTACGAAGTACTACTAGTACATTCGACTGTTTGCATACTGTTGGAGGAGGACATCCAGCAAATCACCAGAAAAGCAAGAAAACAACGGAGACCTGAACCTGAACTTTCTGTGACTTTTCTTCAAATATCTTCTCTCAACAGTAACACATTCCGCCCCTTTATGCCGGTTGGCGCAAAGGTGTATGAACATGTGGGACGAACATGGAAGAACCACGCCACAGTAGCTGCTGCATACAGGTGCGAAGGCAAAATGAGTATTTCAGAAAAATGAGGACATCGCGGACACGAGCCCCAACCCTAAACAGTTATATGGCTTACTCATCAAAAGATCCACATAACATTAATATATATTATATCATATATCGTTTAAGATTCTGACGCGACACTCATGGCAGCTGAGTGGTGAGTGGTGTTCGCACGTGCACTGAATTGAAGCTTCAGGGCTCGCTCGGCCACGGGTCCAGTGGAGATTGGACAGGTCAAACAGGGTCAAAGTCGACAGGGTCAGGGTGAGGCCTCGCCGCAGGCGACCGCAGGCGACCGCAGGTGACCTACGTCGAAGTACCTCAGAACCGTTCATCCGTCTCGTCATGTGGGGCTCATTCCCATCAAACATCAATATCTCCAGGACTGATGGCTATGTATTGAAATGAATAGGATCGTATGAATTGTCTGCTGGCTATATCTTTTGTATAAACACACATTAAAACTGTGAGCATCCCTGTCAGTCCTCACACACTGCAGGTGACGGCCCTGATCAGGGGGCTGTGCTCCTCAGTGTTAAGGCTCCACTTGAATCACATGATTTCGATCCGCTGGCCTATTAGCTCATTCTTCGAGCGACAAAACATCCTGACATAACCTCATTCCCATTCATGCCAAGCGTGGCGTGTCGATTGAGGGGCACCACCAATGTAAAGGACATTCCTGAAGAAGAACATGTTTCAGATCCTCGACTCGACTCCCAGGATTATCAAAAATACCACCTGGACCCGACTTCAAGTACCTTAGAAAATGGGACATGACCCCATAAAAACAGGTACTTCATGGTACTTGTACCCATTTTCTGAGGTACTTTGAGACTCCAGGTATACACTCAAAAACTTTGCCCAAGCACTTGAGCGAGGGCTGCCGCGGGATCTCATCCTCCCCCAATTGCGGCGTCACCCACATGCAAAGGCTGTTGCAGAATCCGATCCTCCCTCGCTGCGATGCTTTCGCCCGTGGTCATGAATAGGGGCTGAAACCGCACCCCCCGCACCTCATCGTCCCCATCGGAATCCTGACACAAGCGACAAAGACTTTACATCTCACAGGGGTATGTCTCATGACAACCCTCCATGCGAAGCTAGACAAATTGTCAAACTTTGACTGCTTCTCATTGTAAGTCCGCCCATCCTGAGAAACACCAACCTCTGTCATTTGTTTTGCGGTTCGAAGAAAGAACCACAGATCCTTACAAACCAGCCTCCCGACGTCGCAACTTCTGCATCAACTCTTCGTAGGTGCGTTCGATGCAAGAGTCATTAGGCCCGAGGTGGCCGTTCAAGACTTTCGAAATCCTCCTGGTGAAGATGCCCCCGCTTCTCTCGTCTCCTGTCTCACGCTTTTCATGGTTATTCAAATTTTCAACTTCAGAATCCAAAGAATGAATCCCCAGAGGAAACATCTAAGACGTCAGGTCTCCTGGCGCTGCGCGGCCTGGATGACAAGCAAATAGCATCCATGCCTGTGCGTCGCTGTTCCGGAGAAGACGTCGTGGCTTGGAAAGGAGGAAGTCCTCTTGACGTGGGTATGTCCACCATGCGATCAATCTCTCTCGCAGCCCTGAAGTCTGCATGCAGCCATTGACGATGACGTGAATGCGGGCAGATGTGCAGTGCATGTCGCTCAATCTCTTGACAAAAGCAAAGACGGACACTCCATCCTCACCCCTTTGAGAATCCACTGGCAGGAACTGCGGGCACCCGAAGACCATCTGGGAATGACACGAGATGTAAACAAACACAGTGGGTCGTTTAGTTCCTCTCAGATGTTGCTCGATCAAATCCAGCAAGGACTCGACGTTGTTCTTCTTCAAGTCAACCCACTGGAGTACCTGGAGGTGAAGAAATGCAAGCTAAGGATGCAACACAGTTCCATGCAGATTTGGATTTGGAATGCTGGGATCTGACATGATGTTTGATGATTTTTGCTTCCAGTAATTAGAAAGTCTGTCTGATCAAGCTGCATGTCTGGTTGGGAAATCGAGCTCACAGAATCAGCAACAAATGCATTGCAGGTAAGTTGCACTTGCTGCTATTGTTCATAGATTGCTCAATGATGTGGAGACCGGGTCAACCAATGAGTCAACCAATCAATATGAACCAACATGTTCACTGACGGAAGCGCACGCACACGCGCGCACACACACACAGGCACGGACTCAATCAATAAATCAATCAATCAGTCAATCAATGAGTCAGTCAATCAATCGACAAAGACAATGAGTCAATGAGCCAACTCAACATATCAATCTGAAGTTCTGAAGCGCCACAGCGCCCACTTCAGCGCCTGCCAGCCACCGTCTTGAAAGATCTTCACCAACCCTTGCCACCATCGATCGCAAACGGGGTCGAGGTGTTCGTAGTCCTTGCCAGGCTGAGACGATCTCATCAAAAGAACAAGAGATCTTCACGTTTGGCTCATTGATGAGAACCATGCCTTAAGGGAAAACAACAACCAACAATTAAATACAGACGCGCTGGTCGCCTGGTTGCACGACAATGCCTGGTTGCTAGTCTTGACATGCCAAATTTGCCCCTAACTTGGGGGCCGGCAAACACAATGGAGACCTCTATATACGCCAGTGGAGGAGTGTGCTCGTGAGAGAACCCTAAAAAAGCACCACCCTGCAAAACTAATGTTTCGGAGACATCAGCATGAAATTGGCCCACCCTTGGATCTATGCCTATGCGTCTCTTTCCTTGACAACTTTCCTTAAGGTCAAGGTGTTCATGAAGGTTTGTGAAGCCGACAACAAAGTTGCGATATCGAATATCGATGACAACTTGCACCTGTTGACAGCACAAATGAAACACATGACATCATGGCCATGCGGTGTTGATAATGTGAACCCGATGAGATATTTGCACACATTGGTGATCGGTGACAGCGTACACATAAACAAACAAGCCAAAACAAACAAAACCATCCTGCGGCATATCAATATGCGGGTAAGTATACAGTTCAGCAATGCTCGAGAACTTATAATAGTATTGGAAAGGTCTCGAACAAAAGGTCTCGTAGATTGCAACTGGTGTATCTCCTGCTTTTCTGCAACTAAACAATATAAGCATAAATTATATAAGAAAAGTATAGCGAGCTATTATAGCGGTCCTGCATGTTGAGAAATACTCCCAGTCGCACATCGGGTCTTGCTGGGCGGCTCTGAGTTGCTGGTGGACTGCGCGAACGAGAAGCTCCACAGCCGCAGCCCCTCACAGCGAGAAGAGAAAGACCTGATCCGACGAGCGATGTCTGAGGCGCTAAAGGTGTTTCGGCACTATGTCATAAGCGCCACATATTAGATCCCTAGGGATCCAGTCGTACCGAACCTCAGGTACGGTGAGGACGGAGACACCGCGGATGTAGGTGCCATTGTTGGGTCCAGGAGGTTACCGAACCTGAGAAGGTACGACTGGATCCCTAGGGGATGTCACTTAAGTGGCACGGATTTGATATACCTGGCTGGATCTTGGACAAGGCACAAAGAAATGCCTTTTCAGGACAATATGTCTACTATTCAAATGTGGCGCCACTGAACATTGCAACTGAGTCCTCCACCAAATGCCCCTTGCATAAGTATCCAGCTCCCGAAAGCCCACCAAACACATACGGTCAACGCTTGAACAGGCGTCTTTTGCCAAATCTCTTGAAAGTTGAAGTACACGATCATGTGAAGCCCGAAAAACAAAGCCAAGGATGGCGAAGCCATCGTCATTCGGAAACGCCACTTCTTCCGCGGAGACAAGTCCATTCTGCCGCCGTTGAGGTAAATGACAGCTTGCAGCGCTGCTGCCAACAAAGCCAAAGCCAAGCTCACCCCCAAAGCTCCAGCAAAAGTCTGATTGCAACTTTGCTCTGAAACGCAAAGAATCTGTGAACTATCCTCCAAGCAGCAAGGTGTCCCACGAAGGAAAAAGACCTTGAGGACAGCAACATGGTCACAAGAACTTGTGAACAGTCGAGACAAATGCTGCTGTCTGTAGATGTGTGTATGCTTTGGTCAGGTCTCCAGCGGTCGGTCTCATGCCTCTCCATCAGGTTCAAATCATGCCTGTCACCAATGATGCTCTGAAACTGAGGTAACATGACAATGAAATAATGCAGTAAGTGTAGTATATTATATTTTTGTTTATGCTGGCAAAGTTGCGGCTGTTCTTTTTGTGAAAAAGTAAATTAAAGTAATGACAGATGATGACAGTTGCAGTCATATGATGAAGTGTGATGTTTTCTCAGTATCAGCAAGTATTGGTGCTGTTGGGGTGTTATTTGGGTTTCCGGATGTGTTGCATTCATCAACGCCTGTGTTTTTGTCGGAACACATGTGCACACCGCTGCTTACTTTGACCACCGCAGCTTCGGCAGCTTTGACCACCCCACAGAACGCTGAATGCAAGCCGGGACTCCACCAGCCACGAATTGGGCATCCACCAACAAGTGCTGCCCAACTCCTTGCAGCAGCTGGCACCAACCTCATTGATTCCACACAGCAGAAGTGGATATGCAAGACAATATGAATACATCAGAAGTGGTTCTGTGAGACAAGAACGATGTGCAGCTGCTGAACACTGGGGTCGGACCAGAATCAGAACAAAGCTGAACAACCGAACCCGTTTTTTGCCTCCCGCTGCACTTAAGCGCTGCACTTCTTTCTCATTGGCTGCGCAGCAGGGCTCTTTGTCAAGTGTGATTCCGCACGTTTCGGCCTGAAGCAAATACTGAGAAGGTTGACATGACTGGTCCAGTGATGACCCAAATGAACCTCCAGTCATTGCACCACGCCTCTTGGGGACCTGCTGGCACTCTAACAATTCCAATGCACCTTGAGGAAGGGTGGAAGACAACAACACCTGGTGGAGCACGAGAAACCAAAACGTGGAAGGCCTTGGAACACAACTTTTGTGTCTCTCAAATTCTCTCTCTCTATATATAAATGCCAAAGCTATAGTTCTCAAAACACACAGTCTTCGTCCCAAACAAACGCGCCAGGAAAAACAAGTCTCACAGATGCGGGGCAAGAATACTTTTAAAAACAATAATATAATAGCATAAAATAGCCCTTGTGTGCCCTTGGACATGAAGTCCCAACGACCCCATAACCTCTTGAGTTTCTATAGACTCAGCGGTAAGATGCGGTAAGTCTTCTTCACCGGTTCCCTCTAGTTCCTGGCCAGTGACCGAATCAGCTTCATAACCGACCGAGTCAGCCAGCCTTACCATTGCAGCAAATGGGCGCATTGCCATAGCAGCTGGTGCAGAACCAGGGCCTGACCGAGCTCCCGTCGACCCGCTCCCGTCTCGAACAGTCCGACCGAGCCGGGATCCAAACAAGATTGTCGATGAGTTGAGGTGCTATAGGACGTATACCATAGTCGAATTTCTTGGAGCTCGGCATACCCTGAGCTGAGTTGATGGACATGTTGCTCCGTTGCTCTTCCCACTGAAGCGAACCTGGGAGTCCATGCGCTAACAGGTGAGGGCTCCGAGGGCCGCAGTCGGGCCACGAAAGCATACAAAAGCAAGTTAACCCTTTGAGCAAGGGCCGATGTTCTTACACACACACATACCAGGTTACCATGCACTAGTTACTAATATTTGTTCATGATTGAGGAGCCTGACATAGCCTGGATTTGTGTGTCTCTACTCGTTAGTTCGAACACCGCCACGGATCTGCTCGCCTGGAACTGCAAAGGATATCGCAGTATGGCTTGCTCCCATGAAGTTTGATGGGCGAAGTCACTTTCTTTGCAAAGCCTCATGAAGTCATCAAGAACACGGAATATGTACGCATGGGTCCAACCAAGACAACCAGCATGCCAACAGGTTGGTTTCTAATAACTGAGAAACAGGGCCAGGCGTTGTCCTCGACGAGGTTGATCGGGGTCGTTTTGTTGTTGCAACAACAGGCTGCATAAGTGATGTGATGCGCTGGATCTGAGCTATCCTTGATGAAGCACCGTTCGTCCTGGCCGCAACCACCATGGTGTGGACCCATACAATCGTGTTGGGACTGTAGAGGTGCAATGTCGCACTGAAAGTGCAAGTCCTGACCGGCCAAGGAAGCGAACCGACCCCACGATCGGTGGTCAAACAGCAAAACGTGACTGTCTGCTCACCGAGGTGCCCCTAGGGTAGCAGGATCGTAACCCGAATCAAAGAAGGAGAGTGAAAGGTCATCAAGGCCTCTGCCAATGGCAGCAGTGGCACAACTCAGCAAAAGCAGCCTAAGCATTGCAGCCAAACGGACCCAGTCACAACGGTTTTTTCGCCTCCACTGGCTGGAGCCAAAAGCAGCGTTAGGACAGGGCGGACGATGAGCTCGCGGACGCGTCAGACTTGGGTGTCTCCAGGAACTCTAGATAGTTGAACATCTTGTGGTGCGCAATGACATAGCCTTGCTGAATTTGCACAGCTTGCTGAAACTGTCTTCGGACAAACAATTGAACAATCTTAATGTTTCGCAAGAGACTTGCTGATGTTCCACAATGGAACATCTCAATTCCCGCTGCACCCAAAAAAACATGCCCGAACATCAAGCCTTGAAGTGCCAAGCTGCTTCAATTGTTTTCAAAAGAAGCTTTGACTGCATTCCATCCAGAGCCTGCTTGATCAATTGCTTTCCCACACAGTATTCTCAAGTGGGCGCAGGGTTCTTTGCGACTATTCCCGTCCTCTCTTCCTCATGAAAAGGCGTTTGGGCGCCCCTGCTGTGCAGGCTACCGTGTTGACAGTGTTGCTAGTGATCTAAAGATATTCTGATTCACTGATTCTCCAGTGACGTGATGTCGTAGTCTACGGCCTCCAGTTCGTTCGGTCACAAGTCCTGAGACTCCAGTTCCTTCGGTCACCAACTGCTTCGGTCGGTCCGAAAGCAAAGGTGATTGGCTTTCTGAAAGATCACCGGTGAGGTGATGAACCTCTGAACCGTCTCGAATCCGGAATTGGCCGAAAAGAAACAGGCTTACCACTGCCTGCAGCGTTCGTTTTGACGCACGGAAGGTGCGCACCTGTGAAGCCATTCACTGCCCAGGAGGTCAAGGAGAGCCGTTCCTGGGTGTTCAGATCCGGTGAAGCGGTACAGGTGCATCTATAGAGTTATGTCGGGCACGCCAGCCATAGATACAAGGAGCCAAAATAGTTTTATAAAGCAAAAACAAAGCTATTTGATGGTTGGCCATGTATGGCTGCCATCGCCCAACATAACCATATTTCGGATGTTCACCCAGTCCCCAACCGCTCCGGTTTCCCCGCGTCCGCTCGCGACTGAGAGTGACCTGTCCGTTGAAAAGATCGTGCCGGCCGCGGCCTGGTAGTGCCTGGTAGTGTGGACTTCCATGTGGGGTAGTTGATGAGAAAAACGCACGGAAGTTCGGTCTGGCATCCAAACACAAGTAACGCCAACAAGCAAAAATCGAGAACTAGCAAGTCTCACAAAATGCAGGTGTCTCGTGGTGTTTTGACAATGTTGAACTTGGATAGTGTGTTTGGGTGGTGCTGTGTGAGTCATAGTGTAAACATACTGTAAACCCAAGATTAACGTACCCTCTCCTACTAGTTTGGTCCGCCTTGGGGCCCCCAATGTTAATACACGCATCTCAAAAAACCTTCTGGCAATTTTTTTTGCACTAACCCACCCAATTAGTTTGGTCCAGCGTTCTTTTGGATAATTTTGGTTTCAATACGAACTGCCTTTCTTGGGGGCCACCCTCCACTTCTCAAACCAAAAACTTAAGTATGGTTGGACCAATTCCTCATCGGTACAGGAAGACCTTGTTGACCTTCCATTGTGCGGTGACCTCTCCTGATTGACCGCAACCCCAACCTGAGAGTTCAATTGCACTTTCTGACTCCCCCCAAACTCACCAACCTTGGGGGAGGTATAGTTGTACACATCCAGTGTTTCTCCCTTCTCACGGTCCCAAAGAGGCTAGCCTCACGGTCCCAAAGAGGCTCCTTCTCGGTCTGAGTCCTTCTTTGTTGGTTCCTGAGGTCCTTGCTCCAGTTCTCTTCTTGGGAGCCTGGACAGCCGAAAACCATGCGTCTTCAGCAGTGACGCCGAGTTACACGTGGTCTCAGAGGTTTCAGAATGGATGGCACTGGCATCCAAAAATGTCTTAGACAAATGGGGGTCCTTCTAAACCACCGACCATTGAGGATTGTGCCATCGAACCTCTTAAATCACGTGTCACCCATCACGTGTCACGTGTCACCCATCTGAATCCCCCCACTTTCCATTGTCAAGTCGGAGGGCTAAGCCAACGGGTGGGTAGTGAATGCTTCATTTACACTGTGAGGAACATGGAAGGGCCCCCGTGGCCAACTGGAAGACCATGTTCTTCCGGTACCTCTTCCTTCGAGGTCATGGAACACCTGCAGCAAGAACTAAAGACTTAAGTGGAACTCCTGACACTTGCCTATGTGTCTATGTCTATATGTGTCTTCATTAACACTCCTGCAGCAAGACCTCTAAGTCTATGTGAAGCTCCTGGGTGCCACTTTGTCTCTTCCGCCTTTGATTTACCAGTTGCCACTGGCAGCAAGAGGCCTGCTGTGGACTGGTTGAGACCATGTTTGATCCTGGACAAAATTAATATTCGGGAGCTCCAAGCAACCGAGTCACTACTATCGGGCCAGGGACCTTCCAGGCCAGGGACTGCCAGGTGGAGCTTTTTGGGCGAACGAAAGCACATGCAAATCCCAAGCAGTTTTTGGACGGTACTTGCTGACAAAGTAAATCAAATCTGGTCATATTAAACTATGTATAGTTATAAAGTATGTCAGAAAACATCAGCTGAAGATCAATCCCCAAGCCGATGGATAAAACACCAACTCTCTATACTAGGTCTTTATTTGGAGATCCTTTTGGCAACGTCGGACCCGCTTCTGTATGATTTGTCATTCCGAAGTCATTCCGAAGTCCAGTCGACTGGGAGGTCTCCCAATCGAAGGGCGGACGAATTGGACCAGCGAGCACTAGCTGGGCCCGATTCCTTAAACTCTCTGAAATGGTATACCTATCGTTACGTGGAGGACAGCCTGTCTGCGCTCCTTCGGATGACCAGTTCACTCCACGTAACCAATCTATTCCATGGTGCTCAACTCCACGTGACCATGATGCTTTCAGGGAAATGCAAAATGACACACATAGACACTCCATGTATGCCATATATGCCTACATTGGGGTGGTTTGGGGGGTCAATGTAGGCATATATTCCATACATGGAGTGTCTGGGATTGAACAAGACATCAAAAAACACATGACCGTTACAATGACCGGTGTTGTTGTGTAGTTGCATCCTCTCGCCTTTCTTGGTTGGGATATCTCGGATATCTCTGCACACACCTGGCCTCACCTCTTCAACTGAGCACCCGGTCCGAAGCGCTGCCCGCGTGGTTTCCACTGGGTTGCACCGCACCGATGAGATCCAACTGATCCAATCGGCTCGTATACGCCTGGGATTCGAGCGATGAAGGAAGAACATAAGAACATCAAAAGGAAGCCTTCCACAGTGTTCAACAAATTGTTTATAGGGATTCTGTTGGGGGGACGGTCAAACATGCTCTCAAAACGGAGAGACCAGTTAGCCATATGGCTATTTTTGTAAGGAATGTGAAGGTATTGTAAACTTAGCAGCGGCCCGCAGTGGCTTTGGGAGGGCCGAGACAGCTTCCCCGAGATTGGTCATCACAGCCACGCGCAGCAAGGCTGGTGCCGTGCACACGTCGTTGCTGTGGCGCAGTGCCAGAAACTGCAGCTGTTTGGAGTCCAAAGCCCTATACCATTCCCTCACCCGAGCTGTCTGGGACTGGCATATTTGCAGCCCCATTGGATGGTTGACCTGGCGTCAATGTAGGTATATTCCAGTCCCATGGAGTAATTGACTCCAGTCAATTACTGTCTACTACACTGTCAGGGAATACCATGCTGGAGTTTGTCCCATCCATCCAGTCCCATCCAGTGTGGATGCCGCAGACAATTGGGTGTTTCACCGTGAACTTCGGTCACCGAACAGTTGGACGGTCTCATGAGTCCCCCATGCTTTTTGGGCGGGTGATCCACGTCTTTTGGGTAGGTGTGCGTATCAGCAGATGTAGAAGTGTTTGTGTGTGTGTGTCGTGAGGAAATACAATGATCTGGATCCTAAACATGACAACATGAGTTTAATCGAACCTGGTGAATTGTACTGTAAATGATGTAAGCTTGTGGTGAGTTCTTTCTTTCCTCAAGCTGCTCGATCTGGAAAAAAGCAAAGAAGAAGTCTGGGTATGTCTGGGTGATGCACAAAACGCTCCAGTGGAGATCAGCTAGACACATCACACTGATCGAGCTATTGCACTCCCTGAATGATCATGGTTACCTGGAGTTGAGTTCACCAACCGACATATTAGATCCCTAGGGATCCAGTCGTACCTTTTCAGCAGGTGAGGGCGGAGACACCGCGAGGCTGAGTGCCAGGAGGGTCCAGTCGTACCGAACCTGAGAAGGTACGACTGGATCCCTAGGGGATGTCACTTAAGTGGCACGGATTTGATATACCTGGCTGGATCCCTAGGGTTTAGTATTTGGACTTCCAAGAGACCATGATTTCACTGTCACCCCCACCCACCTAGCCTTCACCGGAGGCTTTCGAAAGGCCGCGGCCGCCGTGGCCAAGAGCAGCATGGGCGGCCGCCGGGCCACGGCACCGTGCTGTTCGGTCGAGTCGGATGCCACCAGCGATGGCAAAGGCCTGGGCGGTGCAAAAGTGGTTGGTTCGTGGTTGGTTGGTTGCAAAAGCTCTACAGCTTACATATCTTACATGCATTTGATGTGAATTTGCAACCTCAGATGTCTTTTTGTAAAGCCTTTGCCAACCTCGAGGGTCCAGCATGGTAAAACAACTGCACATGAAGAATTCACCAATTCACAATTCACAAGGCCTGAGGTAACTGGTCCAGTAAGGTGAATTGTTCACTATTCACCTCAATGGACCCTCTTTGACCATTGAAATTCCACAAGGCCTGGAGGCAAACAGCCGCGCCAAAGGGTCCCCTTCGCCCTGGCCCGAAGGATCGGGTCCGCTCGGTCCGGTCTGAGGGGGCGACCCGGCCGAATTGGGATCCAACGGGTCGGGTCTTTTGTGAACATGTTGGGCTTCATGTTGGGCTTCATGTAGGGATATAGGGCTCTAAAAGATGGGCTCCGAAGTGCCTTCAAGTAGTGTACCGTGTACCCCCACCCTATAGCTAACCCAGCTCAGCCATAGTGTTTGTGAGGTCTGCATGTCCGGTCTCGAGGTCTGCCCCTCTTCCTCTCCAGCAATCGGATGGTGGTTTCAGCATGCTTCATCTCCAGCTTTCAGGTGCTGCGGCCCATCTACAAAGTCTTGTTAATAGTTTGTGCATGTGTGTGCAGAAATGCTCATGATGTGTCACTTGTGTCTCACTTGTGTCTCACTTGTGTCTCACCTGTGTCACTCCCCTGCACTGATCCTAAGAAGCACGCATCAAATGGAGAAGAACGACTGAAGAACAATTCCCACACTCCATGGGATTGGAATATATTGTCTATACATTGTCACCCGGTCACCCCAATGCAATGTATATATTATATACCGTATTTAAAAATGTCATATACATGGAGTATCATGGAGTGTCTTGGATTGATGCTCTCTGTCCCGCCTTGACGCCAGTGACGCCAGTGACTGGACTGTTGGGTCGGCTGCCCATGCTACCTCGCAACAAGCCGTCCGAGTTGCAGGAGTCCAAGACTGTGTTAAAAATGCTCTTCAAAGGACACCACGTTCAGGAACTTCCTTCACTTTGGTGGTGCCAAATATAATCGAACTGGACTTCTAGCGATGGATTGAGGTAGCACATCTCCTGCTCACATGATCTGGACACAGTCCTGGTGCATTGAGCCAGTGAGGAAGTCGGAAAAAGGAGAACATCCATTGCAATAAGGCTATGATTACATAGAGTTTGCGCGCCACGCTCAAAGAGTCTTTTCACTGGTGGCATTCACTAACATTAGTCTTGTGGGGGCATGTGTTAAGTGTGTTTTTTGGGGCGGTCAGGGTCACCTGTTCTGATCAAAACAGGCCCGGGCCACTTTGGCGTCTCTTCCCGCCATAGAGCTCCTGGTGACGCAAGCTTGGGCCGGTGAAAAGCGGTCTCTGTGAAAAGCTCTTCAGGTCGGATTGATTTTTCTGACTTGATCTTCGCCATGCTTCGGAAGAGACAAGGTCTTTGAGATGGCCTTTTTTGTTCAACCACTCCTGTCAGGTGGACAACAATTCTTCAACTCAGCTGTATTCAGCTGTGACGGTTGTCTTTTTTCCAAAAGTAGTCGCCATGTTTGATGCCCTGGGGATGGTTGTTCACGGTGGTGTGCGCGTTCCGATTTGGGCAGGTCGGTAGGTCCTCGATCCAGTGGACCAAACCCACCGTGTCCCCTCGCGTTCGTCGCGCATGATTCCAGTGGACCTTATAATTGCGGGCAACAACATGGGAGCCACCGGAATTGGATGGAATATGATGGAATTGGCCAAACGTTGGAATTCTTCCTTCTTCATCCAAAGACTGCTCTGCTGAGCAACTTCGGCCTTTAAGGCCAAAATTTTCGAACATGTCGGCACCAGCAAGAAGGATCCTCCGGAGCGATCGGCTTCATCCTTCCATAAACCAGATCGGCCGTAGAATTGGTGGATCAGCTCACTTGTTTGAGCCGTTTTCAGGGGATTCCGAGTGACAGGAAGAGTCATAAGTCGACGACCTCTTGGGCAGGACGTCCTTTTCGGTAGCAAAACCCGTTTTCTGTGATGTGTTCGGGCTATCGGGACAATGGATCATCACAGTGGGCCAAAACCACGAGACCTTGAGTGATTGGGTGGTTCAATCCTCAGTCACGTCCCGTCCTGGGTCCATTTCATGATGACATGTGAGAGGCAAAGAAGGTCGCTTCATGAAAAAAGAAGGCCATCGGGTTGGACTAAAATGGATATTTGAGTCAAACTGCAAGTTCTTGTAAGGATTGTATTGAGGTTGGTTCCACTAACACATTTGAATGCTACTCTTTGGCAGGTACTGTTTGTGATTGTGTACTTAATAGTAGTCTTATATGTTCCAGTGTCATTCTGATGTCGGAACAGTTGAAGTCTGGGCCAAACTCCAACAATTCCCTTTGCTGACCCTCTGCAGCTTGAGGAGAGACTAAAGCAAGCGGATGCAACATGCAACACCACAATGGCATCTCAAGTGCGACACACACACACACAGTATATATTTCATTATATTTAAACAAACAACAGCAGCCAACTTGATTGGAACTCTGCCAACTTCACCCCTCCTGACGGAGGTGAAGTTGGCCACTTGCCGGGTCGGTGAGGGAGTCGGTGAGGGAGAGAGAAGCAAAGGGAGAGAGATCTTACATGGAAGTGGATTTCCATAGACCCCTGGAAGGCCCTGGCAAACCATGTTTAATACCAAAAAGGTGGTGATGCCCTTCCATGATTTCATGTAGCGAGGACCCGAAGAAACGAGGATTTCAACACAAAGAACTCTGACGCAGTTCGGGCATGCCATGTCGACATGTCATGCCTCCGCAGTTCGGGGGCATACAAACCGGTCTATGAGCACCCGACTCTGCAGGTATCCTGGAAAGAGGGTTGAAAATGACAACATCGCTGCTAGGAACAAAGGGCATCGCTACTAGGAGCAAGGTCGCTACTAGTAGCTGCTGGCCTTACTACTGGGAACAAGAAGCTACTTTGTTAGATCCTTAATGGTCTCAATTGGTGACCTGTAGAGTCGGGTGCTGGTAGGGATCTCGTGCCTGAAGCCTGAAGACTCTCGGACTTCGCCTTGAATCCATCCCTCTCAGCCGTGACCATTCGTTGAGTCCCGATCTTTTCACCTTTAGATGCTGTGAGCAGAGACTTGGGCATCCGGTCTTGAAGGCTCCACGACTTAGAATCGTGAGGATTTCAAACAGGATGGATCCTCCGTCCTCCTCAGACACGTCTCGCGTCTCGCTTTTTTAGCTGGCATTTCGAGCTTTGAAGGACTTCGCCATAGTCAGCTCCTGAAGCGTCTCGACACCGTGTCCACGTCTCGACGGTCGTGTTTGCGACGGTCGCGCAAGTAACAGCCCTTGGACTCGAAGATCGCGCCTTGCCTTTTTTAGACGCTTCAAGCAACTGTGGGGAACTAGCTGGTAGGCTCATCGATTTGCCCAACACATTGAACGCGGCGTAATCATGCGATATTTTTTCCAATTAACATGATTCTATAGTGATTGAATTCTGTTGAATGTTCGAGAGTAGGGAACCAAATGCACAGAACCCCCCAGAACCTCCGGTAGGCGGCCAACCTGTCTGGAGGGTTCGGTTGCCCCGGCCCCGCCATCTTTGAGGGCTTCTGAACAACTCAAGTTCAGACTTCCCACCTTCAGAACCAAAAGGTCTTTCATTGCATCCCTCAGAAAGGGGATATGATACAGCCGTATCTCATTGTCCCCCTTTACCTCTTTTTGAGGTTGATGTGCCAATTCATGTGATGAATCCGCTCAACTCGTGCCCCGCTGCAAAACCGCTTCTGCGTAACACTACCTCGTGCGGTGTCTCGCTCGGTCTCCTCGATCTTCGCTCGGACCAAAGCCTTGGCGACCTTCCAGTTGTCTCCCACCACCTCGCAGCGCGGTTGTCGCGGTGTTTCCACTACACCCCCCGCGGAGCGAGTTCTCGCAGCGCTCGCCTTCAGGCGCGGTTCTCGCCCGAACCGATGCCGATGGCATCGGGAAGAGGAGGGGTTTAGGGCCCTCAGTGTCAGGTACGGTCCCACGAAGCAGGGCAGCAGGGCATCCGAATCAAAACGACCGCAAGATCCGCGCAAGACCGCGCAAGACCGGAGTGGGCCGGTGGTTTGGAGTGAGAAGAGTGTGGGGTCGTCCTGGTGGTCCTTATGCCCCCAAAGGTGGCAGTTTCACACTGGTCCCCTTTGTCGACGACAGTCAAGACCTGGTACATCCCATTGCCAATAGTGGTAGTTTTGGGACCTGGTTGCAGGCACACATCTCTATATGTGATGTGTTCTTTTTTCCAACTGTTACATGTAAGTTCGGACAGAGCCATCTTGTTCATCTGATTGTACAAGAAGCCACCTCTGCAGCATCAGCAGCGCCACCACGACCACCCCGACCCTCATGCCAATCGTCCAAGGTACACGGACACCCTGCATGCCACCAGGCGTTGAGGCAGGTTGAATGGTGATCGAGACTTGTCCTCCACACCTGCGGATGATGATGGGGAGACCATGCGGCCTGTCGGACTTTGGTATCCTTCCATTGACATTTTAGGAGACAAGGCAGGGTCATACTAGGTAGAGTTTTGCCTGAGCAAAATCCGGTCAGGTTTGCAGCCGTGGAGTACTTACAGCTGCCTGGACGACGCTCGAATCTGTCCTGATCCCTTTGAACCGAAAAGAATGATCTGTAGCGGTCAAGCAGGCACAAGGGGATGTGCACACTGTAAAACAGTTGCTTCACTCTGTGGTCCAAACTGAATCTGGCTTTAAATCTAGAACCTGGCGCAGGACCATATTCATCCCTAATAATAGTCTATAACTATACATCATAGGATCATTGACAGCTCTGAAGTCTCCCACTATTAGAAAGTCCATGAACATGTCCGCTTGACAAACATTTGCCTTTGGTAGCCACATTGTCGAGTGGTCACCCCCAGATGTTCAGAATTGCATCTCCCCGATCATGAGACCGCCAGGTTCAACAAATAGGCTGCATGTTAAATTGCTGCATCATTCTGACATATTTCTGGATTCGGCTTAACACTACAAGGATGGATCCTGAGACACGTGACCCAGTGACTATCCCAGAATCTGAAGAAAAAAAACAACCTCAACCCGGCATCTGCAGTGCTAAGAGTGGCCACTATAATATGTCGCATGGATGTCTATGATAATACTGCCCAACCATTGGTCATTGTCAGCTCCTCTCTCACCATGGCCACACCGGACGATGGTCTCACCGTCTGCGCCTCTCCCGCAAGTCCTTGATGGTCTCACCCCCTTTGCCGATAAAGAGCCCTACGAGGTCATGCGGAATCTTCACGTCTTCCTGTCGCGTGGGTGGAACCTCCGTGTTGAGGGAGGTCCAAGTGAGGGATGCCCCCCCCAAAAAAGAATCAGTTTCTAAGAGTCACCACGAAGGCAAAAGTGTGTTAATCAATTTATGATCAGATGAGGGACGAGATGATCTTCCTCCACATCGCGCCTGAAAAAACACATATTGACCCGCACGTATTGAGTACTGTGACCTTCCTACTTCATCCTACTTCAGCACCTCACCGACATCGCCGCACACGAGCCCTGCGCGTCGTACCACACCGAGCCCTTGAGTGGTCTCCTCGCTCTGCTCCGCTAAGGGTGCTCCTGTTGGAGACCACTTGCCTCAGAGCGTCGCCGGCACTGAGCCCACTGAGTGGTCACCGACATCAAGTGGTAGAGGTAGCACCCTCCCGAAGACAACAGCTCCCTGGAAGATTGCTTTCCTCTACCAACCAGTGGTTTTCAGGGTCACGGTCAGTCTTCCAGGGTGTAGAGGCTTCATCTGGAGCCACCTGTATTCAGACGTGCTGGCAGTTTCGTTTACCGACTTTTTCAAGAACTATAGAACTAAGATCCCCGAATCTTCTTCCAAATCTTTTTAAGGGCCAAACAAAATTGCGCCAAACTCACAAATCTTGCACCATTCTAATGTTGGGCGCCCCCATATCACGGAGGCGTTCATCTCGAAAACGATGGATGGATTTGACATGATTTGAATGGTCTTACGTCGGGCCAGGAGATTCCGGGAGCGGCCTGGTCCGTCTACCAGTCCAGTCCAAGTAAAAGCTGAGACTCTTTAAGCCCATTGAGATCCATCCATTGAGTATTGTGTTTAGATTGTTTTCATATAACATTGTATAACCAGAACCAGTGAAATGAGGTCCTTGACCTGAGACAGGTGGTACAGCCGATCCAAACGGAAGCTTTCACTGACCGAGGTACATCCTCTGGCCCGGAAGATCTCTTGGATCACCGCTTCAGTCTTCGCCTTGGAATGCTGGAAGAACAGCGAGCCAAACACGTCTTGGCAAGACGCGGGCGCTTTGGATGATGAATCAGCGGCATGTGGATCGAAGCGCTGGCAGTTTGTTGTTTCTTTATGGAGCGGACAGAAAGAGGGGGATCCACCGGGATCGGGAGTCGACCGCTTGTCCTGTTGGTCCGTTCATCTTGGTTGCAAGTTTGAAACGATGCTCCTTATCCTTACAGGATATCCTGGAAGACGTGCTGTGTTCTCCTGCCAGGTCCATCTTACACACAGTCTTACAGCCTTTGTTCTCCTTGTATACGCCTGATTTTCTTTCAAACACGTCTTGCAGAATCCTTCACATTCACACTGCCAGCTCCGGGCTTGCGGACCCAAAAGTGCAAACTGATCCCAAGTGGACCATGAGAGGTCCAACGTGTCGGAAAGGTTGTCTGAAAGGTTGTGGGGCCACGTTCCGCAAGTCTTCACATCGCAAATCTGTTAGTTTCTCACAATATAGGTACCAGTAACCTGCAGTTGCCATACACAAAATTTGAGAATCAAGGAGACACCATGCCATACATGAAAACAAAGCACTCCGACATGCCATACCCGCACGTGTTTGCCCTCCCAACACAGTGTCACACCACCCTGAACCTTCGACAGTGGAACAGGAACCCAACAACGGCAAGGAGGAAAAATCGGCCTCCCGAAAACCTGGTCGTCCTTCTAACCACCTGGCAATGGAGAGACTGAGTTCTGATTTTTCTTGAGGAATTCAATGGAATTCATAGATGTTTTGCAAATCCCCGGAGTCTTCATCATGTCTTGGGTGCAAATAGATGGGCGATGGTCACATCAAAACTTAAAGGATTGATGGCAATTTGAGGTTTGAAACTCACCCCAGGCGCGCTCTTCAGGCACCGAGAAATCACTGCCAAGAAACGATGTCTCCCACCACAGAGATGCCTCGCTCGCTTTTCGTTCAAACACTTGGAACTCGCAGATTCTCGTGATTCTGTCAAGAAGATGCCAGAAAATTCAGATATCCACATCTGCCCCAGAATGGCAGTTGAGCCGGTGGAACACTTCACTGCCCCAAAACCCGAACTCTGGAGGTTCGACCAAGCGATTAGTCGCTTTCAAAGCGGCCACAGCCACAGTTTGCAATCTTCATCCGTTCAGACTCATTTCAAGCTCTTTCAAACCGACACCTACCAGCTGCTTCCGTTCGGGGTTACCAATGGACAACCTTACACTGCTTATAGGTCACCAGACAGGACACCGGAAGCGCCAGGTACTTTCTGAATTATAAGTCAACAACGCGGACCCGCGTTAGACCCGACCCGCGTTAGACCCAATCCCGGTGTCAGCAACAACCTTATATGAACAGTCACCTCTTCACGGGGTGCCTCGCGATAAAATCTTCAACGAACTGAAGCACCCAGCAACCAATGAATTATCCATTTGCACCCAATTTGGTAGACATCTTCTTGAAGATCCATTCTCCATTTTCCATTCATCGAAAGAACCCCCCTGGGACCCGCGGATCCGATCTGAAGCAGTGCACGCGACCAGCGGACCTTCTCGGACGCCGGTCTTGGGACCTCCACGACCCACGGGAGGGATGACGACTGACCAAGCGACTCCCTTGAGGCTCATGTGGCAAGTGGTTCACCTTGATGTCGGCCCCGGTCCTGCGGAGCCCGACACAGTGGCCGTTTGGGAGGGTGAGTCGGTGGTGTCTTGGCAGTTTCGGGAGAAGCTCCAGGTGTGGTCCTCAGGACATCTCAGGACACAGCCAATGCGTCGTATGAAAAAGGACACATGACCAGCGAATGGTACAGAAAGCCGGTGTGCTGGCACCCATGGTTTGGCCAAATTGGTAGGCGCCCGCGGTACTCAGCCCATTTGAAAAGGCCTTCCAAAGGCCAACACCATGTCTTTCTGAGCCACGGCTCTTGCCACTGCTCATGCCACATCGATGGACAAACCAAGGTCCCTGACTCATGGGCTGTGTATGGACACCTGCTTCCAGGATCTGGGATGCAGCTGGACGCAAAGATCCCGAAGTCGAGATTTGAGGGTTGGTGATATCAGCTCGGTGGAGAACATGTCTTTGCACGACCCTTCTGCGCCCCTAATTCCATATTATAGTTCCATTCAGTCAGGACATTGTTGGAACCAAAGTGGTAAAGTCATGTCACGGGAATTGCGGCTCTCTTGGTCGCGTCTTGCTGCCTTCTGTGCGCTGCCCCCCTGAAGAATACAAACACTCACATATGTGTTGCTTACATGAGACCATGTGCACGCAAACGCAAAGGTGTCATATCACTGCATGGTTATATTGTCAGCCACAGGTGCCTGAAGGCGTCATGGGCAACTACCACATGCGTGCCTGAATGCCCCACTCTGGAGTGCACAACCAAAAAGACATGGACAACAAGACTCCAGATTGGCAGCCAAACAAATCGTCTTGTGTACTTACGCTGCTTCCACACTACTCATGGTGTAAGATGTCCTCATGCTTTGTCCAAGATCCTTTGGACACAAATGTTCCGAATTGAAGGGCATTGGATCCGCACGCATTGGATCCACCGACTCCTTGGCGAGCTCGGTGGAAGTGCGCTGTGCTTCACGCACGAAGCTGCGTGGCTGTGCTTCGAACACCCGCACCCCTCGGTGAACCCCGGAGCTTCTCCCGGTGGAGCACCTGACTGTTCGGTGGGATGACCCCAGTGCCAGGGTCTGCCAGTGCTATGACCGGCAAAAACCAGGGTCTGACGGATCGGGATCTGCTGGATCTGCTGGAAACAGTCGACCTGAGCCCTAAAACCTGCGGGTTTTGCGAAGGCACGAAGCTCCACCCGTTTAGGGTGAGACATGGCCATGGGTGTTCCCCAATGGTCGGAGAGGGTCTCGCACCTCACCCCCACTCGTCCTGCTGATGACCTCGCGGATGGTGGATCCGGCCTTGCCTGGAGTGGCCGGGCGACACCGGCAGGGAACCGGCAGGATGGTGGATCAAGGAGAGATGACGGGTCTTGTCACAATAGGGATAGGATGGGATAGATGCAAGTGGGGTCCCGAATATCAATTTAGAGGTGTTCCTTGTTCAGGCCACACCCCGTATGGGCCGCCGTCCGTTCGGCTCTTTTCCATCGAATCTCCAAATACAAAGTGGTGTTCCGAATACGAGTAAAATAATACAATCTGGTCATGCACAACCAGTGAAAAAATGGAAAAAACAAACTGATCCTTGCAGTTTCATATGATACCTGATGAATCTTCTTTCAAAGCACAAGAAAGCCCGACATCCTTAAGACAATCTGGCAAGGAGTCGTGGCGCCTCCGACGACCTGGACAAGCCGACGACGTGAATTCACCTCTACGACAACACCCTCTGTGAGCTCAACTCAACTCGAACGAAACGATGAATCATGCCCGCGTTCAACACTTACAGTAATTAGGGTGGTGATGGGTGTTCTCCTCTAGGCTAAACCAAAACACACACATCAAAGCTCAGCTTCGTCCCCAGTCGTGACCAAGTCCCACAGGCCTGGACTCGTGACCGAATCAACCAGGAGGTCCAAGGTCACTTGCTCGAAGAAGCAGGGCCAGAGGAGGTGTCCGCCATGTTCATGTTTTGGTTTGGCACACCTTTACATGACATGTTCTATACCAGCTGCTTCCAAGGGGTTACCAATGGACAACCTTACACTGCTTATAGGTCACCATTGGACACCCATTGGAAGCGCCAGGTAAGAATATATGTTGTTTCTCCACAACAAAAGTATGTTTGTCTCTCTAAATTTGTCTGTGTATCTCTGTTACTCTTCTCTAGTCAGAGGATGTCAGAGATGCACAGTCTTGTTCACCTGAGTCTCCCAAAAACACCCAAGAGAGAGATCTGTACCAAATGTACCTCTCCTTCACAAACAGGGGGTTCGGGTTGTCCACTTCCATGTTTGTTGCAGGGAAGGTAGCGCCTCCAAAAAGAGCCAAACACCCAATGACATCAACTCATTGATACTTTACTGTTTCAACGATCGTTCTCGCCCGTGGTCAACCACTGACTTGTTCTCCCCGTTTGAACAGGTGGCCAATGAGGACCCTGATCAAATGCGCAGGCAAGTCGATGACCTTGTGACCTGCCAAGGGGAGGGAAAGCCTGGAAGGCCTGGGGTGTGGGGCAGCACCTGCGGAGGTATTGGTTGGTCCATTTTGACTCATTTGCCTGGCAATCTTTAGAGTTAACAGAGTCAACATCCTACACAAGGCATGGGTGCCCGGAAGGCATGAAGCTCCGCACTTCTTGTGGGATCTGGTCGCCTCTTAGGGAAGCTGACAGCACGGGAGGCTGATCTATAGCACGACATCCTAGCTGAGGTTCTTCAAGGTGAGCTTACTTATCTGATTCCTCATGATGCCTATACCTAGAAGATCCTTTGGGCAGAAATTCTTGCCTTTTTCGGGAAGAGCGGCTCTTCCCGTCCTGGGGCGGAAATCAGCTGTTTGCCGCGGAAATGTTTTTGTTGCCGCGAATATTCCCTTTCAGGAATCCAGTGAGACAAAGACTACATATTCTAGAGGAGTTGAATATTTTTGTGGTTTACATTGGGCATTTCTGCCTGGAACGGTCACCGCAATGAGAAAAAACAATTTGCAGCGCTTAAGTTTCCACCTCCACCTGCAAATCTGGCTACCATCATATCATATATTATGTGTCTTTGTTTTTGAAGGTTTCTTGTGCGGAATGATCACAAAAGGACTAAAATCAGTCCAAAGTTGAAAACACCTGGCGCGAAAATGCCCGGGAAAAAGGCAGAAATACCCGGGAAAGAGGCGGAAATACTCGGGAAAACGGCGGAAATACCCGGTTTCCGGCGGAAATTTCCTGGTAGAAGGCGGGATTCAAGAACAGTGCCTTTGATGCCTTTGAAGGGCTTGAACATATGTCGCAGCCTCTTTGTGAATGTCATGAATTTAGAAGTGTCAAAATCGTAGGGTGTCAGATCTTGAGATGTGAAGCTATGCAGAACGATATGTGGTCTGCAATCATGGAAGAGACAACCTGGTAGGTTGTAATGGTTTTTGAGTTGCTATGTTGGATTTTGCTTGAGGCAAAAATTCCCTGCTGCCCGCGGAAAATCCTACCTGGCGCGGATTTCCCCTAAATCCGCGAATCCTCCCGGGCAAATCGGGCTGAGGCAGAAATTTCTGCCCCAGGTGCTTCTAGGTATCTCTTCAGAGTACATGGCACTGGCACCTCAATATGTCTCAGACAGGTGGAGGTCCATACAAACCACCTGCCCTTGTGGATGGTGCCATCTACTCTCAATCCACTCTATGTGTGGCTCAACTTGACGCATCATCGTATGGCTCTCAATCCTTCATCCGAACCTGGCAGCTGATGAGTAAGTGCACGCGTGTAATTACACGTGTGTACGCATCGAGTACTTGTTGCCCATGCAGCCCGTGATTCCATCATGATAGGAAAATCCGTTTGAAGACTTTCAGAAACTTAGAATCAGTCCAAACCAGTTATCTGAACTGGTCTACTCAAGTGTCTCGCTATGATCATCACCCTTCAAAGCCCAAAACATCTACCCTGCCAGCCAGACAAATCATACAACAAACTGTGGAGTAACGAACAAGCTGGAAGAGCGATCAACGCACGTACAAACCAGCTACCAACTCTAGGGCAAACACACGGTCTGCTTGCGATCAATCACCACAACTCCAGTTATCTCCAAAATGATCAGCGCTTCCCATCGTTCCAATTTGTTGTCCTTCCACCCCAACCTTGAGGCCCTTTGTTCCTCAAAAAAACATTTGAGGGACGGTCAAAACTTCTTATTTGTTCTTCAACTAAAAATGGACGTCATCGGTTTTGGATTGGACCTTATCGTGCGCCACAGTGTTGGCGATGTTCGCCACATACTGATCATACAGCGCGATATGGGTTATCGGTTTGAGGTGGACCATATCGTTCGGGTTTTGTGCACAAACCTACCCCTATTGGACCACAAGTGGTCTTGGCATGTTTTGACCATAGCTCATGAGCAAAGAGAACCTCTCTTCTTCAATTAATCAAACAACCAACACATCCTGCCAAACGACACGGGCCTTTGGGCTTGTCCGGATCATTCTTCTTGGCGCTGGCCGTGGGCGCCGGTTCCGAAGACTTCAGGGCCTCCACCATGTCCTCTGCACATCGGCGGCCGGTGGAAGCGAAGAGGACGTGGTGGGCGCCATGAAGCATGTCTCAGACGTTCGTCTCAGACTTCCCAAAGGGCAGTGGTCTCTAACCAAACGTCAGGCTCGTCACCCTCCGCGATCAGCAAATATCCTTCAGCCCTCTCTACATTGTTATCGCGGGTGGATTTGGGCAATATGTTGCAATTTCAGTTTTCTTACGGGAGTCTAAGTTGTTTTGCAGCGTTCAAATTTTGGCAAAGTACTTGTATAACTTGTTGTTTTGAATAGTTCTTGTAATTACTTTAAAACAGAAAAAAACACAAATTGAGCTAATGTCAAACCGGTAAATTAAGCAAGTAGTCCAAGGGCGAGGGACAAAGAGAGGGAGAAAGGAAGAAAGAGAGACTGGACGGAGCAAAACAAAACGATGCATTCTACATTGCACCCAATTAAAGAGGTTGTGGGGCACTAGACGCGGGACCACATTGGCGCAGCGCACATACAACAAATATGACTCTGCTTATACGGAAACATCAAGTCCAAAATGGAAGTGAAAAGGTAGTGGCAGCAGCTCCACACATGCTTCTCTTGTGAGGGGGATAGTTTTCTATTGAAATCTGTGTTCAAACAATTTTTCTCCTGTGACTGGGTGGTAGCTAAGTTGCAACCCTTGAAATTTAGGCGAGGAGGATCGACGTGCTACAACCGTAGCCCAAATGGGCTCGTGATAATCAGTAGTTCTCTCCCTTGTCTATCTACGCACGCACAAACCCGCCAAACCCGCTACACTCTAACTCACCATGGAAGTGGATGGCACCCCCGTAACCTTCAAAGTCATCGACCGAACTTGAGGCTTGAGATCCCAGGTCACTGACTGAAGGTCCTGTCCCCTGAGGTCACTGACTGAAGGTCATGGCCCCTGTAATCTGAACCCGAAAAAAGCACTACCATCCACTTCCATGTGTGGTCCTCAGAGTGTCCTACCATCGGAGCCGCGCCTGCATCCAGGCGGGTGTGGTTGAGTCATCCCATTTGCTCCGCGGCGCCGGGGGAGGCTCCAACAGCGAATCTTTCGCATCCTTCCCTGCGCGGTGAAAGCGTCGCGGAAGTGTCCGCCACCCAATTTTTGGGTCCCAACAAAATGATTCCAGTCTCTCTTGGCAAGTCTTTTTGGAGCGGGATGGCAAGTCTTTCCAACTCGAAGATTTCGGACTTCTACGGAGTTTGTTGTTTGTTTGTTCTTGCTTGCTTGTTTTTGTGGGTGCCGTCTAGAGTCTAGAGGCAGTCCATAGTTTCAAGATGTTTGAGGGTTCATATCTGAGATATCATACAAACAATTATGATCAATTATGTATATTGATATATTACACACTCAGACACACTGAAAAGCTCCAAGTCAATGAAGAGAGATCCCTGTGGTGAAGGAACTGATTTCTCAACCAAATGGGACGAAGTCGTTGCACACACCGTGTGGCGCCTTTCACGACCTCATGACGCGCAGAAAACAAACAAAAACCTCTTCAGCAACAAGGACTGCGGCCCTGATGCAATGGTGCACTAGAAATCCAGCGAAGAAGCTTGGCCTTGAAGCTTGACCTTCGGACACTGGCCTACAATAGCTCTAACATGCCCCAACTATCTGCTGTTGTTGTTGTTGTTGTTGCTTTTTCACCACCGGAGGCACCGAAGTTGCCCGGAGTGGCCGGCAAGTGGCGGAGCAGTTTGCAGCTGGTACCAGCTGCGAACGTGAAGTCTTCCGGCATGGGAGGCATGGGACAAAGACCCGAGTCAGTTTCCTAACAGTCAATCTGCGGTGCATTCACGGGTGGAATTGTTGGGGTCTCCAAGAATTCACCAAGTCTGGATCTCCTGTTCCAGACCATCCATGGGACTGGAATATAGTTAACTACATGGATGGGTCATTTTCATGGTATACACTTATATAATAGATTATAATACTAATAGTAACTATATTTCATGAAAACCCAACGTGATATTATATAGTTAACGTATTCTCATAACTATCAATCCATATCAATCCCATGGTTTTCTTCTTGATGAATTCAAGATCATCGTATTCACCCGACAACATCTTTGGACCACCGTATACAACAACCCCATCTTTAAGTGGATCCATTTTGATCCCAGTTACTAATTATGAGGAACCAGGGTTTGGTTCAGATTCGTTCAGTCTATAGCTTTACTCTTTGGAACTACTGATTACCAGCGATTCCATTGGATCCATCGGGAAATCAGGGCCTTCCTTGCTTCTTCTCCGCCGCCGGCTGCTGCTGCGCTTGCGGCTGCCGCTGCGCTTGCGGCGTCGCTTCCGGCTGCCTCGGTCGCTGGGGTGTGACTGGTTGAGTCCCGGATCTGCCACCTTCACACCCCCTTCTCAGAAGGTATTTAGGCCCTCCATGACATATATTAGATTATATTAGTCTCCAATCACCTTCTCAAAAGGCATCTGGATCGAAGCCATTCCACAGAATCGGACCAATCCTGTTTCACCCCTCCGTACAATGGATCAACGACCAGGTCATCAGGTCCATCAAGCCGCTCACGAAATGATTAGCGAGATCGTTCTTGGCTGTACGGGCCAAGACTTCTGCTCGTCTGATCCAGCATGAGGTCGGTGTTGTTTGTTTGCTTTTTTTGCGTTTCGACACGTGGTCAAATGGATCTGATCTGGCTCTGGGTCGCACTCAGAGCCCCTTTCACCCTAAAAGGTTGACCGCCAGCAGGTAGTCTATGACCTGTTCATTTTGGGTGCTCAACTGGTCGGTCTCCCGCCATGACCCAGAGCCATCCGCTGCCATGGCACTTGGGTCCGGGCCTCCGGAACTCCCAAATCGGCGACCGGCGCGGTACCCCGCGGAGACTCCCGCCGAGAGGCTTCTGCTACGACTCCTTCGGCTTTGGCTCCGGCTTCTGCTCTTGCCTTTCCTCAGCACTAGCACAACGCCACAGGATGAGCGGGGATTGAATCTAAACGCCATAGATGTTGGTGAGAACAGTTCATGATTTGTCAGAGTCTGATTGGAAAGACTGGAGATTTGCTGTGTTGTTGGGTCTTGTTAGTTTAGTTGGACCCTCACTCCATCGTCTTTTATCTTCAATTTCATCGAATGTGGGTTCAATTCTGCTTTGTTCCTTCCTGCCAAGGCGCGAGGCACTTTGCTCATCTGGGAGGTTCTTGATGAACTTCGACAGCGCTGCAGAGGCAGCCGCCTTCACTTCCGCATCGCCTCGGGAGATCTACTTCTGGCACTGCCTATCATCTGCTACCTCCTGTTACCAGCTTTGAATCAGGGCGCTTGCACAGGTGATTCCACTGGTGATTCCCCTTGCGTCCAAGGAGTGCAAGCTAGCGCTATGAATCCCGCTGCGAACGCTCCGCATGGACATTCTCTATCTGAGATCATAAGTCGACATTCTATGACATGACAGCAAAATAATGAATTGCTATAAGATATTAATAGATATTATAAGCATATATGTTTGAGTCATATAATCAACTCATGTCAATTCATCAGACCTAACCAAGGATGTCATTTCTGCCGTGCTGCCCAGCGAGACGATCGGCGGTGGCGGCACCACCGGCGGCGGCCCCGGCGGCTGGCCCAGCATGGCGGGTGGAGGCCCAGGTGGTGGAGGAGGAGCCTGGATGCTGTGGTTGAGGTGGGTTTTCCCCAGAAGAGTGACATGTAACTATGAATGACTTGACATGAACTTGACAGTCTTGAATCAACATGTCGGACAAGGCAAACACAGTGGCAAACACTCGTTTTTTGCATTTGTTGAGATCGGTTTGCCAACCTTCACCGGTCTTGGTGACCGGTGAACCACCGGTCTTTGAAAATCGGTGGATGTTGACGTCGAGACCTGGTTTAACAAGCATTTGAAATGCGCCAATCATATCTATATAGAGGTGACCCAGAGGTGAAGAAGTCGCTGATAGCGCATTTTTTTTTCCTGGGCGTGTTTTCTTGTGCGCATCTTGGATACAAGGGAAGCAAGGCAACTGAACCACGAAAAGTTATCTTCTTGTTCAGAAGTGGCATGGTTGATTGCTCCCATGACCATCTTCGGTAAGTGAAGACCCCAAAGTTGGTCAATCAACCCAGTCAATGTCTTCACCCCAAGTGCTTTGAGACATCTCCTGCTCCCACTAACTCACCAGAAACGGCTAGACACTCTACAAGCTACAACAAAATAGAATTGCTTCTGCGTGCCTCCAGTTGTATTGACCAACCTGGAATGGCACTAGTCGTGAACCCCCCATTATCATTGTCTGCACCCTTAAATGGTTTCATAGCTTCTCGCCACAGCCGTATGTGCTCCATACTGAAAACTGAGACTTCAATCCAACTCAGAAACCGTTCCGCACACCAAGCTGCCAGAAGCCCCGGGATGGGAGGCGGCGCGTGGGGCGCATGATGCAGTGCTGGGTGGGCGGGGTGGCTCTGGATCTGCGGAAAGGCCACCTGGCCGCAGGTGACATAAGGCATACCTACGTACATATAGAGATACCTACAAACAGTATCAAACAGTGAAAAGGGTTGTCCAAATTGGTGACCCATCTTCTAAAAGCAACTGAGTTTGCACCCATGATATTAAAAAAAAAAAACCATTGGTGCTCCTTTCGCTCCTTTTACACCCCAAAACCAGGAGGGCCGGGGCGTGGTCTCTGCGTGTCCGGGTCAACCTTTCCACAACCCCTGCAGGACCGGCGGACCGGCGGACCGACGAGGAGACCGGGGTGTGGTGCCATTCAACATGCACCAAGGCTGTTCAGAACCCAAATTCGACTCTCCCAGTTGGGTACCTCAGGTGGACCGGGTCCTTCAACTTATTCACCTCTCTGGGCACCCAGGTCTCCTCCGGAACTCCCCAGGTCTCCCCGCAACTCACCTCACGCGGCCGTTGACGCGCGCGAACGGTCCCGACCGGGGTCCCGAAGGTCGGTGGTGGCGGCACGAAGGGCGTCGGCGCCAAGCCGCCCAGGGTCGGCAGTGGCGGCGCCTCGGAGGGGCGGCCGGGACGCATGCGGGGCATATGCTGTGGCCGATGCGACAGAAAACCACCCCCAAATGCACTGATGTCATGTGTTGAACCATGAAAAAAATATGTGTGTTCTTCTTTTTGGCTTTTAATTGTATATATCAGATATGTGCATATGCATATCCCGGCGTCTGGGACACTGCATCACTTCGGCGGGGCAACGGTGGTTTAGGGAAACAACAAAACATCTAAAGCAGTTCGTTGGGTTCCGGGATCGGGATCGGCTTCACTTTTGAGACCTGCAGGATTGCAGGATAGTTTTGGGTGCTATGTCTCAAGACCCTATAATTATCTTGAAATAGCTCGATATACGTCCGAAGCAGTTCCTTGGAACAAGGATGCTTCCATGGCCGGTCCCGGACGGACGGTCCTACAGCCATCAGCCGGTCCTCAGACAGAATCAAGCGAGTTCTTCGTGCTTCAACGATCTATCAGTCTATGGGTAGTCTATGGTAGTCTACGTACAGTAGCAACCTGCGCTCATTCTGTTTTTGATAAATCACACCTGCCTGGTCCAACGGTCCAATTGACCAACCAAAGACAAACAAGCAACATCAAGCAACCCTGTGAATGCGTTGCCACGATTTCCTGCGTGGCAACTTCTGGTGCAGGTTTTCCTGCGCCATCCTGCGCCCATGGGCAGATTGGCAGGCATGATGGTTCCTCCGTAACCCTTGCAATCCCTGGCATGAACCTAACAAACTCTCGCGCAGCCATCAAAAAGAACGTATGAAGGGAGGGGCGACAAAGAAAGAACAAGAAAAACATGATCGAAATGAAGATCAACAATAATTGAGGAAACCAACGATCACCAAAAACAAAGGTCATAAGGCGCTCAACTGTGCTATAAGCATCAGACGTCGATTGGAGGCTCCCCGGCAGGCGGGAGCCTACCGCCGGTCGGATCGCATCGTGCGCCAGGTTCGTTTGGAGGCGCACTGAAGGAAGCATGAGATCATGGCAACAAGTGAGCGGCCTGAGACTCTGGAGGCTCTGGAAACAAACGTCGGAGGCCACTGGCTTCGCGCAAGCGCGAACGCGACTGTTGTGCCCAAAAAGTGCTTGGTCATGCTCCACAGGGTCTGGTGGCACCATCACAGTCACCCGTGTTGCTACTCCGCCGGTTGACACCCGACCCATACTGCATCCAACCTGAGGTGCCCCACATGTGGCGGTGGTGGAGGTCCATCCCACATGGCGCATGAAGCGATGTCAGCGATGTCTTTGGGAGTGAAGAATCCACCCAGACGGATGGCACAATGTGTTTAGGGTGACATGCTGATGTCGGAGAAATGGTTTCATGGTGATGTGGCTTCATGAGATGTGAGACTATGTGTGTGGTGTGTGTGGCGTCTTGAGCTGGATTCCCCTCAACAACAGGGATTGTCTTGACTCTTTGAACAAGAGCCGAGATTGGCACAAGCGTTGTTTCTTCAGGCCGAAGGTCTGGCCTATCTCAGCTAGCAGTAGCAATCTCGGCGATCAAACTTCTGAGAAGTGTACCTCTCGGGTGTTGTCGATTTACTGCAGTCCGGAAGCTACTGTTAAGATACAAAGCTGCTTCTCTGAAGCAATGGCCTCCAACCCAATAGCGATGGCCTCCAATGCTTGAGATACAGAGCTGCTTTTCTGATACAATGCACAATCTTGATTGAATAGATCAAACATGTGCAGTGCTTTCTCTGAACGTGAAACATGTTATCCGAGCTCAGCATTCACATCCAAATCACTTCGAATCCTTATAATACCTTAACAAATAACAAACCCCAGTTTCCCCGTGGATTTCAAAGAACCTTGTGGGTCTCAAAAAGGCAATTGGTGGTTAATGGTGGTTCTGTATGTACTTGTCCCCTTACCAGGTTTGAGCGGTCTCTTGCGTGAAATGCACACGATCTGATAGGCTTCCAAAGGAAATGCACGTTGATCTGATCACCGCCAGAAATACTGCACTTGCCTACAGCGAATATCCTCACCCTTCCTCATGGGTCATGGGACTCCTGTTTCCCCAAATTGTTGGTCTCCCAAAATATCAGCCAAATACCTCGTTTGCTGTGGAGCTCCAAGCTGCACAGAATGACACAATGACATCGGCTACGGGTCACCTGAGTCCATGAAAAGCACATGAGAAACCCGTGGGAAACCCAGTGGAATACCAATTGACGAAAAAACACTTTTAGAAAACCCCCACCGATCGTGTTATCCACGCGATGGAGTAGTTGCATAGCTCAACAATCCGTGCTTCCTGGATTTTATCTCAACCGACGGACCGATGTCAAAGGATGCCCTTCTGTGTGTATAAAAGGGTCAACATCAGCTAACACATTAAGGTCAACTATCATGCTGTTTCCATTGCGAATAGACAAGAAGGTGGCAAAAGGACACAGCCCTAGTTTGCAACACAGAAACAAACTTCTTGACAATCATGTGCTGTTGAACATGCTATTCACTCTCCAATTAACATTGATTGATTGTCGTCTCTCTCTCTCTCTCTCTCTGTCTTTCCTTCTCTTTTTCCCACCTGCACCTTTTCCGTCCACCTTTTCCTGCCAAACCGATTGCTCCAAGCAATCGCAGCACCCGATCTGGCGCCGCGGCTGAAATCGCTCTGCCGTTCAGATCTGCAGCGTCGTCTCGGGCGCCGTGGGCCCCGTAGCACACACCTCTCCGCCGCAATATCTGGCATCTTGGCACCTTGGTGAGTGGACCGGTGGTGCTCGTGATGAACTCTTGGTGGAACACCCGCCCTGACTGATGTATTTGGTTTTTTATAGCACAAATTTGAGGGCAAGACTCGCGATTCCTCTATTTGGTTGGTTATTTTTTGCTTATAGTTATGGTTTTAAGTTTAGATAGGCTTAGTATCTCTTGGTGTTGTTTTGCATGTCTTTCATTTTTGTTGCTGGGTGAGCGGTTCGTCAAGAGGTACCCAAACTGTTGTTCCTGAACCCGACACTCCACCGCAAGTTTGGCAACCCAAAGTGACCTGGTGCAACCTGATGAAACCTGGATGGATTTCTCCACCAAAAGAACCAAAAAGGGTTGGTGGTTTCAACTCATCTGATGGAAGAACAAAGACACAAACCATCACAAGTCCTGGTGAGGACACACCCTGAATGTCCTGAGTCATCATTGGGCCTTGGTCCTTTCAGGACTCCTTCTTCTTTGGTTTCAGGATGTTTCAGGTGCTTTCTAAAATGCCTGCCTTTTGCCCTGCTCTTCAGAGCCGGTTGCGCCGTCAAGGAATCCCGGGTGAAACTTCAGAAATCTGGAACTCCAAGCCATACTCTGAGCCTTCAACATCTTACGAAAGAATTGGAACTTAGTAATACCTGAGAAAGCGTGCCCATGTCCCATTTCTATTTGTACCCCCAAAACGTGTTGTGGCGAGAACTGAGCGTTTTGGCAGGACCGCGTGGAGTTCCCCGTGCTCCCCGGCCGTTCGGGGACATCGAAGTGACTCGTTGGTACGGTGAGATTCAACGAGTCGGCCTGGCGGCGGCTCCAACTCGCCGCGGCGGGACCGGGGTGGACCTGGGTGGTGGGTTTTTGCTTTGCTAGGCTGGGGTAAAGAGGCATGGAACCAAAGGCGCAAAGCATTGCAAGGCTGACTTGAACAGATTGAATTGAGTTTTTGTTGGCAGAATGCAAGGTTTTGGTTCGTTAGCTTGTAAAAAGAAAAAGCTACACTTGCAGAGTGCACTGACCCTGTTTAATGGTGAGTTTCCCAGAAAATTGTTCATGGTGAGTTTCCCAGAAAATGTTCAGGGCTATTCCGGATTCCAGATCAATCAAAGGTGTTTCAGAGCTATTTCAAACCATCCTAGGGCTATGTGATTGTTTCCTTAGAGTTATTGTTGTTTTCCTAATGTTATTTGTTGTTGATGGTTTCCTATGGCATTTTTTGTCTCCGAGGTTTATTTGTGTTTGTTCCTAGGGTTATATATATCGTTTATTTTGTCGTATTGTTTTGGTTTCGGAACAGTTCAGGTTGGTTAGATATGTCCGGTGACTACCCCCGCATGTTTTGGATGAACGGAATAAGGTCAGATGGACTTTGCACGGGTCTTGTTTGGGCACATTGAACTCACCGCACGAAGCACAACATTGTGAACGCACGCACTTCAGATGTCCAGCCCTTTGTCAAACCATGCAACCTGGGTTCAAACCATCCCTAGGAATCCAGTCGTACCTTGTCAGGTACGGTGATTGGAGACTATTTATATAGGTGCTAGGAGGGCCCAGTCGTACCTTCTGAGAAGGTATGTGGATCCCTAAGGCATCAGTGAAAGACGAAATGTGTTGCAACTACAGAATCTGTTGTCCCAAGAAGTGAAAGAAGATGAAATAAAATCAAACATATCATTACTCAGGAGTGGACATGGTTTTGACAAATGGTGCCAATAAGCCCGCCCCGAAATCAGGGTCTCCGAGGCTTCCTACTAGTTAGGATCCATATAGATAGATAGATAGATAGATAGATAGATAGATAGATTCAGCCAAACAAATTTTGCAAATTAAAAAATCTAGAAAATTCATAATGCAGAAAACAAAATGAAGAAAAGCAAACACATTCTTCAAGCTTCCAAAACAAAAGGTGTTTGATTGGAAACCCTGAAAAGCTTCACTTCAGTCTTGCAAACGGTACCGGGAAGTGCGAAGGATCCACAAAAGTGAAGGGCCCACAATGAAAGAGACACCCTCGTTTGCTTTGTGGCTCCTGGTTTGCTGTGTTGTCTTTTACATGTCTATTTAAACATTCTCTTGCCAATGCAAGCAGAATGAAGCGAATGCAGACACAATGAAAGTAAAGCAACATGAAAGCAGAATGAATGCAAACGAAAGCAGAATGAAAGCACATGTAATGGATGAACTCCAGAGATAACTAGTTTTGCGGCTACCCCAAAAAAAATATCTCCAAACAAAATGGAGCCGTACCGGCGGTTTGCGCGATCATACAAACAGTAAAACAAAATAAGAACCACTGGAAGATGAATTGGTCCTGAAATTTGTTCAACTCGCTCTGTTTTCAAACGATTCTGAGCGTGAGTCAAATAGCTCTGGAAACGGTTTCTTCAAGGCCAACAAATCGTCCTGAAACAAACTGCAATTAGCTTCTTTTGAAACTTATATATATACATATAACAATTTCTCACCGAGATTAAACAACATCAGGAGAGAGAGGTCGCAAACTATAGCTGTAAATGGTTGATATCCGTTGTTTACTTGAACAAATCTTTTAGTTTATCTCCTCGAAGGAGCCAAGCATTGCAAATCAATGTGGCGCTCATCTCTTCAGCCATTGACGCCCCTGGCATTCCATTTGTCACCTCCATCTACTAAAACACCACTCGCACATAGAAGCCAAACTTCACTACGACCAAATCATGAAACTGATGCAAACACCACTCGCACCCGAGTGGAACACGGGCAACAGCGCCTCTGAACCCAACCGCAACCGCCCGGGAGCTTTCTTCTTCGCGTACGCTTCAGTGGTCCCGGCCCGCCTCGAAGAGGTATTGATCATCCGCCGGCTCGGCCGGAGTCCTCCACATCCAACGGTTTCGGCTCGTTGCGGGACTCATTTTCGTCCGAGAAGATGGGCACTGCATGGTCAAATGATCTGGGTGGATCTGGGTGGTGAACATTCGGACAAAGACTCGTCGTCCACCTCACTAGAGAGGCACTAAGGATGGGAGATTCTCTACAGATGGATCTTAGTCATGTCATAATCCTTCCTCTTCTGGAGATGACCCGCAAGACTCGATGTTCCCTTTGCAATACATCCCTTTATAGCATGGTGTTCTTTATAGTAGGAATATGTAGCAATATGGATGCTGATCATGGCGAAAAGAACAGGTATACAGTACAGGAACTGTACATGTCGGCGTTTGATGTGGACCCTCAGGATTGCCTTGCAACCCTAGGGCCATTTGGCTCTCTTTTGTTTTCCTGACACAGCAGTTCAATCATTTACCTCCAGCTTGTGGTAATTGGCGCAAGGTCACAACAGCTCACTTGGCTTGGAGGTCATGAGAAGAACCCAACATCTCTTTTGAGCAAACAGTCTCAGTACCGCGGGACAACCCAACTGCCCAACAAGACTGCACACAGGCCCGGAACCCTTCAGCAACACCCATCTATCTGATGCCATGCTTTCTGTAAACATGTTTCCAAGAAAGACGAATCCTGCAGAGAATCCTAGCGATGGGTTCCCTCTACTTCCTGAAGCTTCCCAGGGCTTCTCAGGGTCCTCAGGTAGTTGTACCCATCAATGCCACATGGTAATCCAGTCTGCACATCCTGCCGCTCGGCGTGCACTCTGAGCCATGCCAGCCCGCAAAATTTGCAGCCCTTGACAGAAAATGATTTAGGTGTTGTTGCTCTCCCACCAAGCAAAAACCAAGCCAGAACACGCAAACAAACATCAGCAACCAACACCGACAAAATTAAGAACACTTTGGCTGAAGTCCCAACACTTTTGCCTGTTGTCCTCGAACCAACTCAAACGTTGTTTCTTTAAAACAACTGGATAACTCAACGCTTGATAGACCCGCGTCCCAGAACGGACGACTTTCAAGCTCCAAGCTCCAGTTCCAGAACGTCACCGGTCATGGAACGATGTGATGGGTCGACGCTCCATCGCCATCGCTCCCTCGCTCCCTGGCTCTCCGCGCCTGGAAGTAGTAGTTCAAATGTTCCGGATCGAGTCCGACGATGCTCCTCGAGTCACTCCGAGGGGTGAAGGAGCGAAGGTGAAGGAGCGAAAGACCAGTCAAACAGGGTCAAATCCAGTCATGAAGAGCATGAGATCGGTCGGTTTTTGTTGAAGGAGCATGTCATCTTTCTTCATTCAGGGTCAACATTGGTCAACAAAATGTCATGTTAACATCAAACGTCAAGCAAAAGCAAGTGAAATTCGCAGGTTAGCACGTCACGTGGTGTATGTTGTGTGTATTCCTGTTGCCCGAAGCCCACTCGAAGGGCTTGTTTACACTTCATATCTGATTTTGATGGGGTCCACAGCATCTGGCAGTGCATTTCGTTGGCGTGAATGTGTTGGGCCCCAGGGCACCAAACAAAAGACCGGGCACACGGGGGACCATTGTTCAAACAGAACTTGCTACATGTCCACTCCCTGTGGTTGTCAGTTGTTTCACGACGATCAACACCACATTCCATTCATTTCCATTCCCTGACAGTCCAGTCATGCCCCCCTTTAATTCCCTCCCTTTTCACTTCCACATGGAGTCAAAAGGCTGCGGGCCAAAACCCAGTAACCCTGGTTGACCACGGAAAATGAACAGATGCCTCTTTTTGTCGGGATGTCAACCCACCAGGATGCCAGGGGGTTCCAGGTGCCATGAAGCCACAGCCACATGTAGACCGGTTCAGTTCTGTTGGTTCGGTTCAGTTGCCGCGTCGTCGCACTGCGCCGCAGTCGCCGCGCCACATCGGTTCGCCAGCCAAGAGGCCACTTGTGGCAGCTTCGGCCTAAGATCTCACTGCGGCCCACATACCTCAGCGACCGGTGGGTCGGGTCGGCTTTGCAGCAACCAGTGCAGAAGGGTATGGCCGAGTCAAGTAAAGTCCCTTTAATTTGATGCCGCAAGTTGGTTGATCAGTGATTCAGATTTAACATGTTGTTCATTAATATGAGGACATATCAGGTGTAACAGGGGAACCCAGGTTGACCATTGCAAGCAAACCAAACGGATGCCGGTAAGGCCCCAAAGCTTGTCAACTTAGCATTGCGTTTTAGGTATATAATTAGCAATTACAGTAATCTGTTCCCGCTGCCCCTTCTTATTGGTAACTTGCCCTTGGGTCGGCTGCCTGAAGAGCTGTCGATAAACATCTCTGGTTGTGAAGATGGGAATCTCCAAACAAAAACACAACAGAATAGCGTTGAGATGAACGATTGAGAGTGTGATCAGCAATGGAGGCAAATAAGATCAAATAAGACAATTGAGAGATCGGCCGTTGATTACAAGCAGCTTACCACCCCCATCCCTCGACATCTGCGTCGACATTAGGATTGCAATTGGTTTGGTCCCCAAAATGATCCAACACCCAAACACTCCGCGGGACTGGCGACCTCCCTCTGACCTGGGTGTCCAACCGATCGGCTAGTCCCCATGGGTCCGAGCCGGTTCGTCACTTCGAGCTCGTTCGTCACGAGCGAGTTCGGGGTCTTTCTCCTTGTTGGATGAGTTGGGACTGAACCAGTCCTGCCCTTCCACACATGTTGAAACATTATAAATATAAATGGAAAGTATAGATTTAACTTGACAACAATCAACTATTATTCAATTTTTCAAACGTAACTGTTGGAACCACTACACCACCACATGAAACAATGTGGAACGACATGGAATCTGCGATTCTCACACATCCATCCGCATCCCAAACGTTGAGGACACATCCCAAACGTCCTATAGCCACCATAAGTATGCATCACTTCCACCGAGTTCTGTTCCGACCAGTTTTACATGGACCGAGTTCGCCCGTGGCCGATCCCTCGCGTCTTCTTCCCCAAACGGCGGGTCCCGCCCGGGAGGGACCCGGGGTCGTCGCCGTAGCACGGTGACGGTAAGGCCGGGTGACCGCAGGTTCCCAGTGAGATTCTTCACCCATTGCGGTCCCACCGGACCTGGCCGTGGTTCACGAAGGGCTCCACGAAAACAGCGAAGAACTGTGTTGGACCAATACCATGGACCATGGGTGATAGACGACAGGTCGAGTCGAAACCTTTTTTTCTAAGCACCTGGAGTTGGCATCTCAGGTGGTTGCGGAGTATGGATCCTCTTCTTTTCAACTAAGAGTCGTTGCTATTTGCCCGGAAGGTCCACCCAAAAAGTCACCGACCAGTCCACAGGTCCCACATCCGCCTCCGCACTCGTAGGTGCCCGTGGTGTATGTACAGCACTTGCAGCCTGGCCATCGTCAGGTCAGGGAAGTGCCGGTCCGGTGGCGAAGGGTCGCCCGGGCGATGCCACGCAGTGATGTCTTGGTCACTTGAAGTCGCAAGTTGTTAGCCAATTGTTTTAAAGGAAGGCGTGCAGCTAGCCCTCCTAGCCCTCTTTCAAGGCGGGTGCCAAGGTGGGAAACATCAAACATGACACTTTCAAAGCTTTCCCAAATAGCTCCCGCATGTTGTCCAGACGAGAAAACACCCTCAGAAAGAGAAAGGCGCTCAAAGGAAAACAATCAAACACGCATGAAAGAACTCATAAAGAACATAAATCAAGATCAATCCACATCATAAAACCATCCTCCCTGCCGTGCCAAACGCTGGTCCCCCGCGGCCGAGGAGCAATCGCCGGCATTGGGAAAGTACAAATAGCGAAAGCCTGCCACCGTCCTGGGCGCTCGTCCGGCCGGTCCGGTGAACGAACAGTAAACGGTCGACCGACCTCGGCTGAATCCGAGGTGGACGAACGAAGAGTCCACCCTCGGCTTTTGGAGCGTTTTGGAGCGTTGTTGAGCCTTTTGGAGCGTTTTGGTTGACACACCATGTTTGATTGGGAGTCCAAGACGATTTAAACAGTTCACTGGCATACTGACCGTCATATTACACCGATCATTGCACTGTTCGAACTGGCAATACGATCCTCCGCCACTTTCCCCCTACGAAAGCGAAACCAATTGGGTTGTACAATACGTAGTTCGTCGGGTAGATTTCTATTGAAGGACGATGACGGCGGGAATGTAGCCGCAATTGATGGCAAACTTGACACTGACTGAGTCGGAGTATTAAAGTTCAGAACCAATCCAAACTCACTCCAAAAAAGCAAAAAACACGAGAAAATACCGCCAGCACCAGCACCAAACTCGTCTGCAAACATCGACTCAATACTACTTACTGGCGGATCTCATTTCTTCTGTTTCGGCCCAGGTGGGTCCATTTGAGTCTCTCAAAAGCACCTCCAGTCAGCGACCTCAAAGGCTCATGTCGCCCAAACCGGTGCACGCCGCCGGTTTGATAGGACGGGTTGTTTGGTCGGAAAACATTCCAAGCAAACACAGTGGGTGAGAAAAAAGGGAATGCAATGATGATGCAAACGGGTAAACCTCTATCAAGTGAAACAACAAAACGCTCCCATGTTCCAAACAAAACAATAACACACACAAAAACGAGTGTGTTCACACCTCACAATTTCAGAGTTCGGTACATTTGAACAACTTTAGAGGTCGGCAAAGCACAACTCAGCATACAGGTACATTTGAACCCAGTTGGTCTACCCTTCAACTCATGGAAACTAGACCAGCTGATCGGCCACACCGACGCCACCAGCTGATCGGCCACACCAGCGGCCCGAGCTGATCTCTCAACCCCGATCCGTCCCGTCTCGTATGGGTGTGTAACTGTACTTTAAGAGGGAGACCACTCACCAATGGGTATACTATACTCTTACTATACTATATATGCTAGGCTGGTCTATTTGCACCTTCAAAAGAGAGAGAGAGAGAGAGGAGTCTTTGGAAGGTTTCCCTATTTCAATACACATTGCCTGGTTCTGCTTCGATGCCTTGGCTGGGCGTCCTGTTGCCGCGTCGCGAGCGATCCTTCAGTGCCAAGGATCAGCTGTTCACAAGCCGTCGCATTGTGAAAGGCTGAGCATAGGTGGTCTGCGCGTTGTCGGGAACCACACGCTGACGTGATCGCCATGTGGTTTTGTAAATCCCAAGCATGCTACCTACATCATCGTTGACATGTTCCTTGTCGGAATCCCCAAGACTTGCAACAACTGTGGATGTGAAACTGTTGCAACAAAACCTGCATGTATAGGTCTGTTTTGTGGAGCACTAATAAAGATTTGACTAGCTGAGCACTAGCCAACTTTGGGGGCGTTGGAGATTCTGATTCATCATGGTCACCCAGTCTGTCCGAGAAGCAAGTGCCAAAAGTATTCAAAAGTGCCAACTCCGCCATGGCAGAAACGAGCAAGAATCAAACCTCCGAAACACAAATAAGTGCCAAAGTCACAACACTCAAACGTTGACTCACCAATCATAGTCAACATAGTCTGCGGCAGAACTGCCTCCTGTACCATCACGAAGCACAATACCTTGCAAGGGACTTCTGACTGATGAGCATTGGCATTTCATATCACTCTTTGGATGGTCGTGACTCAAACATTGCAGTAAAAATGTGAGAAACCCTGTCGATGCTGCCCATGCACTATGACTATATATCATATCTCCTTTAAGGTCTACTATGATTCACATGTCTCTTTCTTAGTCCATGTGCGTCCCAACGTAGTTGGTCTTGAGTCTGGCTTTGGTGGCATTGGAACGTTCAGATTGAACGTCCATGGCCCAACAATGGACCTCCAATGGCCCAACATGTTCCAAGAGTCTCGCTGTCTAGAACATGGACCAAGCTGGGATTGGGATCGCCATCTGGATTGTAAAAGACATCTTGGGGGTTGTGCCATCTACTCTGGAACCACTGTATAAGTGTTCATGTGTCCCGTGTCCGTGTTTCATGCGCTGTACATAAGTTGGGAAAAGCCAGGCAACAGTGTTTTGGGCAGTTCTGCAGCAAAGTTCCATCAGGATTCTTGAGCACTGGCACCCACCAAAACCCCAAAAACCCTCTGAGGTGCGCGAGGCTCCAACATGGGAGTCGGTGGCGTAGTGGCCTGAGAATGTGAAGGTGAAGGTGGTATTAAAAAGAACGATCACAAGCCAACATAGTTGTCTATAGTCACAGTGGTTTGTGTGTCACGGGTATTGTGACACACATTGGCAAACAAATACAATCCACAAACTAAACATATATACCTAGCACCTTGCACTTCCAAGCGGTGTCCAATGGCCTACGTATAAGTAGAGTGTTGTTTTCTTTTCCAGCTGCTGGTGCCCCCGAACGGAAGCAGCTGGTGTTAGAGTTCCGTGCTTCTCACGCTTCTCACGCTTCTACTTGCCAGCAAGCCACTCCCAAGCAAGCTGGTGTCCCCAAACACTCAATATAGCTTGGCCTATAATTGATCTCTGGAAGCACCCGAAAAGTTTACCCAGATGCTCCATGCAACCAAAAAAAGGAATCTTTGCAGCCTCGTTTGGAGTGTCATTGACCTGGGGTCAATGGGGCGGCTTGCCCCTTCCAGTCCCATGCTCGCTCGGAACGGTTCGGTGCTTCTCTCGGTGCTCGGAACGGCTCGGCGCCATCGTCCACGTTCCAATGGTTGTTACTCTTTTTAAGGGGCCCAGTCATCCAGTAGTCATCCAAACACCGATCCAACTGCTTGGGACAAACAAAGAACCGGTTCAACCCATTTCAAACGGACGATTGATGGTTCCAAGCACCGGTTCCAAAGAGATCGCTCATCTTTTTTTGGGGGGAACTCTTCGTTGTCACAGGGGCCGTGACAGGAGGTAGTCGGTCGCTCCATATAGGGTCCGTGTCTGACGCTGTGGACCTTCGGAAAGACACAGCGAGCAACTGGATGTGCATGTGAGGCATGGTTGAGTCAAAGCCCCTCAGATTCACTTGGCGTGTTCGCCAAAGGCAATTCCCTATGGATCCACATACCGAACCTGAGAAGGTGATTGGAGATTATTTATGTAGGCTTGGAGGGTTCAATACCTTCTGAGAAGGTATGTGGATCCATTTAGGGATTATGTTTGTTAAGACATATATATGTTTAATTTGCAAGTTGGACAAACCGACAAACTCTTCAATTGAGCATCCATGGCAAACCGGAGGAAAAAACCCAGGGCTCCAACCATATCCTGAGAAACTGGTTAGACCCCCCGAACCCACCCCAACCACCTTCTCAGGAGGATTCAGGAGGTAGTTGGAGCCCAAGCCTCACTTGGCTGGACATCCAAAGCTGCCAACGAAGGCGCCGGTGGTGTGCTTGGCATCGGAGGCATACCAAGCCTCGAAGGCTGATGGCCACGTCGCCTGGGGCGTGGCCGTCGCCAGCGGCCAAAGGCTAAGCATCACAGGCCTTGGTCAGCGGCCGCCGGAATGGGCGAGTGCCACAGCCACTGGAGGGGTTTGATGGTGATGTAAGTATGAAGTCGAACAACATGCCAAGCAGTTCCATGTAAGCGCTCATGTGAGGATGGTGTTTCGAGGGCTCCAAGTGTCAACTGTTTGTTTCCTGCGGAGCGCAAAAAATGTCGGGCATGCATTCCACAGTCCAAAGGACCAATGACCGCAGCGCATGCTTGAAGCATCTTGAAACCCACATCCGATCACTGCCCAAGAAACCTGTGCGATCTCCATATGCCCACTTGGTGACCAAGAACTGATTTCGGAGGAACACATCTGTGGATGTCTGGATCAGTCTTCCCATCTCCAAAAAATCACCACTATAGTCACACAAGTGGAGTTTGAGGGGCACCCATGTCGACAGGTTGACATGACATGTCTTCAAAAAAAATAATCACAATCTCCTCCAGTGAAAGTGATCTTCTGGAATTTCTGTTCGAAAGCCTTTGACCGGCCCATCTTCTGATGGTCTTGTGATATCTTATCATCTTCCCAGTGTGAGTGGTGGAGTCCAACCCCCCAGCACGCCCGGAGAACACGACCCATGGGCACCGGCACCGTCCGATCTCTTGGGGCGACTGGCATTGACCCGGGGTCAAGGGGTCGTTCTATATTCCAGTCCCATGGGAGTCTCTAGGACTGGAATCCAAAGAGCCTCAGGACCATCCTGGCCAGGCTGTTAGTTGAGGGTTGTTGGACCAATTGGTGACCTGTCGGAGGGTCCTGGTATATGTGTATATATGTGCTTCTTTGGGCATCACCAACTCCAAGATATTCCAAGCAGGATACAGCATGTCACCCAGGCGCAAGAACGCCATGGCTGAAGAACGTCAATGGGAAGCTTCTTGAATCATCATAAAATCTTGTTATATAGGTACTCACTGCGTTTCTGCCGCCCACATGCTGGTTATCCTGCCTCTTTCCACCGCGGTCTGTAACACTGTTGATCCAAAGTAATCCGATGACATTCCTTTGACCTATGATCCACCTTTTATGTGTGATCAAACATCTATATTGGAACAAAGTAAATTTGTAGGATCACCTTCTTTTCAATTTTGAGTTTTGCCCTCAAACTTCGGTGGTTTCAAACTCCGACATCTGGCAAATTGAGGAACTTCGGCCTTGCAAAGGCTCCAACATCCTCAAGTGTTATGGACCTGGACAAAAATCCATGTCCGAGTCATCATGTTATGTGTTTGTGAGTCACAAACGTTGTGAGAACAAACAAATCTGGTCAACCGGTTGGCTGGTCAACCGGTTTGCTCCATTTGAGCCGAGCACCGGGAAAAAAACAAAGAACATCGAAGGACTGTCCCGGCCGGGTTTGGTTGACTGGAAGGGATCTTGGAGGGCTGAGAGGTCCCCATGTGGAAGTCTGGGTATCTGGGGGTCTTTGCTCTGATGGAAGCACCAAACTCGGTGATTCGATGGAAAGTCTTCAAATTCATCTTCAGTCTGTCTAGTCTGTTTTTGGTCACGTCTTTCTTCTTGTTTCTTCTCCACAGGGGAAAGATGTTAAAAAGCTGACTTCATGACTCCATGCCGAGGTTGCTTGTAGGCAAGCAAATACACTGGCTGACTGTACCTCTGTGCAAGCCTACTAAGCCAAGCTTAAGGCCCTGATTCTACGCTTCTACGGTTTGAGTCGGTTGGGAAAGTTGTTAGTGTGTCAACTTGTGACATTGTTCGTACCTGAGCTTGTACTGACTGGTGCTTAGTAGGGAATGAGGGAATGAAGTTACTCCTTTGGATCCTTTCCGTCCATTCCCTCATTCCCGACGCGCTCGTCGCACCAGTCAGTCTATATAGAGAGAAACTTCAGGGGACTGTCAGCAAACGAAGAGCATTGGAATGCCATGACATGACTGACACTAAACATATATTTGTACTTGTGCATCTTGACTATATCGTTTTTTGTTGGTGGGGACGATATCGTTTATTTCCACATGAACCAAAGCCCTCAACATAGTTTGGGGTCGCCCCATGACTCAATAAGTACACCGATAATTTTGTCGGTCATTCAGTCGCTCATGTGAGATCATTGGAATGCCTAAATGAAGCCCTTGCTAGCCGCTTGGTAGACTCTCAATTTCCAGTGACACCCATAGTGAATGTGGTTTATTTGGCCTCTATAGATCCACAACCTTCATCCCGGCTCCATTGGCAGCTCCGGCTTAAGGTACGTCCCACGACGACAGCGCAAACCAAATCTTTCAACTCCGCACTCATCAACACCGTGTCACCGTTCTTTCTGCGCGGAGTCACCGTTCTCCGGCGCAAGCGGCTGGGCCAGCAGTTGATGCGCAATGCGAAGAGCTTCACAGAGTCAGGGATGGTCTGCTCAGAGGCAGAGCCAGTTTGACGGACTGGAAAAGAATAAATATAAAAGACATGAAAAAACACTTTCTCTGCCAAACTGGCCAGGAACATCTTCATCGTTTCTGGAGTCTTTCGATGTCTTTAGTCATGCTGTCGGCTCAGCTCCGGAAACGGGTAGGAAACAACCCATAATAACTCCCCTCCGCTGCCGGGATGTCTCCGCGATTTGATTTCGATGAGATGCGCTCCAGGCGGAGGAGACCGGAACTGGGCCAATGGAAGTGGGCTCTGTTCCATGATAGGATGCAAGGAAAAGATCTTCTGACCAAATGCCTCTGACCGAAACTGAGCGCCTTAACCCAATGGTCCACTGTGTTTGGAGGAAGCTGCCAAAACAGGCAGCTGAACAAAACCCAAGGGCATGAACTGCAAGCAGTTCCTACATGAAAGGACATGGGACATGCATGGGTCCCGCCTGCCTTCGATTAAAAAACACTGGAACACGTGCAATCCTCTAATTACCTTCGAATCCTTTACCTTCTTCAACATCACAACGTTTCACCAGAAAAAAAACCCTCGACAGGACCCACTGCCGCCTATGACCACCCACCCCGCTCCGACTACCACGGATCCACCGGAGTTCAACTCAATTTCAACCCGACCGACCGGCGCGAACCTCCTGTGGGTTCCACACAACGCCCGACCGAATGGCGCGACCTGGCCAGTTCACCCACAAGTCCCTCGCCGGAGCGAGCCGCCCCGAAAACGCCCCGAAAACGGAGATCTGAGGTCTGACGGAGAGAGGTCGGCCCGGTCGAGCCCAAACATTGAGCTCGATCTCTGCGTTTTGGTTGCGTTTCATGAGGTTTTGCGTTCATGAACATTCTGAGTGAAGAGGCTACTACCTAGATCTTCCAACTATGCAACAGTTAGTGCCTTTGTTCTACATAGTATAGATAGATAGTTGGAAATAAAGATAGATAGATAGATCGATCGATCGATCGATCGATCGATCAGATGAGATGAGATGAGATGAGATGAGATTGGATTGGATTAGATAAGATTAGATTAGATTAGATTAGATTAGATAGATAATAACCAACCAAAAGGCACATGTTTTAGAAGTTTTGATGAAGTGTCTCGTGAAGTAGCAGTAATGAAGATTGAAATAGTTTGAAGATGTTTGAAACATGTCAGGATACTTTCAGATTCTTTCTTGCAGGTCATCCTTGTTCCTGCAAAGATCCGGCCAATGATTAGCACACAACATACAATGACACGGCAGCAGAATGCCCGAATGCAACTAGGTAGCTTCCGGTCAAAGTGCCGGTCACAAAAATGGCTCACGGTGGGTCTTCTGGGAGTTAAAAATCGTACAAAGAATCATACATGAATCATGAATGCAACTCATTCCTTTGGACAAAGATGTACAAGCTCATTTGTTCAGCACCGGGTTGTTCAAGTGCTTCGTTCGGCGGTCGCCCTCCTGAATTCAAAACACCAAACACCGATGGAAGAGGTGAAGCTTCTTCAGGCGGGACTCCGTCCTGGATCATAGATATACCGGACGTACGGGATATTGGAAACAACTGACGAACACTTCAAAGATGTCAGACGAAAATATTTTTAAAAAACCAGACATATGAAAGAACCTTTGATACCTGATATTTCTATTGGTCACGTCACGTCATTAGAAAAAAAAAACGAAGGTGGCACAATTCACCGTCAAACCCCACAGACCGTTCCACGTGCAACGAATTCGCCCCCGCTGACCGGGAAAGCACGCGAAGAGCTACGTGGCTCGTGAGCTGAAGCTGTTGACCGGACGACTGAGCTATGCTGAGCTGGTGAGGGTCCGTGGATGGTGACGAATGAGTCGGTCAGGATTTGAGTCGGTTCCATGATGTCCCATGTCCCTTCTAAGGAGCTGGGACTGGGGTTGATGCCAGCAGGGTCCAGTGATGAGGGGGTACTTGGAGCCTTAGTCTTATACAGCAACCTTATATCACCTTATCATAACTTATCATATCATACATACTTTATCCTGGACGAGTCATCCTCTCTTCAACTCAAGTCTATCCTGAATCAAGGCTCAGTCACTAGGCAAGTCAAATATAGCAGCTGCCTTCGATCGATTCCGCAACATCTCGGACTGTGGAATGGTTTTGGCTCTAACAATGGGGTACAGCACTGGAAAAAAAAAAACACAAAAACAATTGAAGCAACACTGCTTGATAGGCATTCGCATGTTCGCAGGTTCTTTACAAGGACCTGATACCTGATACCAAACTTCTATAGGTCTATACCATAGGGGAATCTCACTAAGTAGTGCTTGGATGTGCTTGTTGCTTCAGGTCTCACTTCTCCAGACCATGTCTCCTCACGTCTCCTCGCGTCTGCGGTGTCGACGACTCAGCAGAGGCCCAAACGCATCCCTTCAGGCAACGTAGCCAATCCCAGGGCCGTCCTGCGTCCGGATCGGTTTTCAGGTTCGATGAGGGCTTGGATTTGCTACCGAGTAAGCAGAAGAGGATTCACATGGATTCACTCAACAAATTCCCCAAAGCAAAAGCAGGGTGAAGAGATCTGCGGCGAAACCATGCGGCTCAAAGAGATTCACTCAAGAAAAACGACCAAAATCCCACCAAGGCCACCTCACAAAAGCGGTCAACACGACACAACCGGAGCTGCTCTAATGAAGCTTGGCTCGGTCTGACCAAGCCAAACGTGAGGCTGGTCGGCCACACATGGCCGTGAGGGAGGAGGCAGGTCGTCGGATCCAAGAGCACGACGTTCCAGGCAGTGAGGTCTCTTGATATGGCAAAAGAATGCATGTAGTATACTACTGAAGTATTGACATATATTGACATGAACAGGAGCAATGAGTGTCGAGTGCCAACAAGCCACAGCATTTGGATAGCTCCAAAAAGACTCCAAATCCTCTGTGGGAGCCCTTGTTAATTTCTACCAACAAGCACTGGACAAATTGCGGGTGTGTAATATTCAAGTTGACTGACACTGCAGACTCGGATATATACATCCCCAAATCTAGAAGATCAAGCAGTTCTTGATGTTCATGTGTTTTTGTTGGTCCATACTCAGTTGTTCCACACAATCCCTCTTCAAATCCCAAAGACCCAAAGACCACTCTGATCAAGGGGCCCCTATCACAACCCACCACTTGGGGAAGACGAGGACCCCAACAAGTCCACCATGAACGACCACCTTTTTGCGTCCGCGGCGCCCACAGGGCCAAAGTGGCAATGTCCCATCGCGGTGGACCGCTTCACGGAACGTTTTTGGAGTCATTCGAAGGATTCTGGGATTGGCCACATAGGCATATGTCACATATATTCACATATCCTTGGTTTCATGGCCAATATCCCCAATTTTTGCGTGCTACTTTGGATGTTGGGGTGGCTCTTGGTGGAAATGGACTGCATGGATGGGTTTGATTGGTCCAGGATGGTTCGTCTGGCGCAATTCGACCACGACGAGGAGACTCTGCTCGCTCGCCATGGCGGTCG